ATAACTCAAACACCCGCTGCAAAACTTTACCACGAGAGAGCCATCGCCCCTCACAGTGATATAACAGTGCGTCATGTCCAGCATCCATATCCTGGCAAAGTTGTCCAAACAAATGTGATTGCAGTGCCCTTGACTTCACAAAATTAACTGCAGCCACAGCTGTGTTCAAAACAGAGTGAAGATCTGGTTCCATGTCTTTGGAAGCGAGTGCTTGCCGGTGTAGCATACAGTGAGTCGCCATAATCCTCGGATTGACAGACTTTATCCGTGCCGTTACTCCACTCTTTCGGCCAGTCATCGCCGCTGCGCCATCCTTATAAACGGCCACACATTTTTCCCAACTCAGTCTCGCTTCAGTCATGAAAGCATCCAGCAGTCTGACTATTTCCTCACCTGTTGTCCTGCCTGGCACCTCCTTGCAGAACAGAAAGTCCTCCAAAATGTCTCCTTCCCAGGGATAGCGCACCAAAACAATCAACTGAGCTGCACTGGAAATGTCTGTTGATTCGTCCAGCTGAATAGAAAATTGCTCACATGAACGCAGTCTATCCAGTAGCTGTGACTGAATGTCAGCCGATAGTTCTTCAATTCTCCTTCTCACGGTGACATTTGAAAGCGGTACAGTTTTCAGTTTATTAGCTGCCTCTGTCCCAAGCACAGCTCCACACATATCAACTGTCGCTGGAAGAAGAAGTTCTTGTCCAATTGAGTGTGGCTTCTTACTTTTTGCAATCCGTTGCACCACCAAATATTGAAGCCCTCTGTGCTTTCCTGAAGTTGTGGCCAGGTTTACCAGTCGTGTTTTCTGAAGCATGTATTCCTCATTCTTTCGGTGGATCAGTATTTTTGTTTTATTGGCGCAGTGGTTCCCATGTGTACTTATGCAATTTTTAATGATACGGCATAACTTTAATAATTTATCGCATATTATTTCGCGGACCCCCAAGCTATGGCTCGCGGACCCCCGGGGATCCGGGGACTCCAGTTTGAGAACCGCTGCTCTATGGGGTTCAGGTCAGACTAGTTTGCTGGCTAATCAAGCACAGTAAAACCATGGTCATTAAACCAGGTATTGGTACCTTTGGCAGTGTGGGCAGCTGCCAAGTCCTGCTGGAAAATGAAATCAGCATCTCCATTAAGCTTATCAGCAAAAGGAAGCAGTGCTCTAAAATGTCCTGGTAGATGGCTGCGTTGACTTTGGACTTGATAAAACACAGTGGACCAACACCAGCAGATGACATGGCTCCCCAAATCATCACTGACTGTGGAAACTTCACACTGGACTAAAAGCAACTTGGATTCTGTGCCTTTCCACTCTTCCTCCAGACTTTGGAGCAGGACCTTGATTCCCAAATGAAATGCAATCTTCACTTTCATCTGAAAAGAGGACTTTGGACCATTGAGCAACTGTCTGTCCTTTTTCTCCTTGGCCCAGGTAAGACGCTTCTGACAGTTGTAGCCCATGTCCTGGATACATCTGTGTGTGGTGGCTCTTGATGCACTGACTCCAGCCTCAGTCCACTCCTTATTAAGCTCCCCCAAATTCTTGAATGGATTTTGCTTGACAATCCTCAAGTCTGCGGTTATCCCTGCTGCTTGTGCACCTTTTCCTACCACACTTTTTCCTGCCACCCAACTTTCTATGAATATGCCTGGATACAGCACTCTGAACAGCCAGATTTTTTAGCAATGACCTTTTGTGGCTTACCCTCCTTATGGAGGGTGTCAGTGACTGTCTTCTGGACAACTGTCAAGTCAGCAGTCTCCCCCATGATTGTGTAGCCTACTGAACCAGCCTTAGAGACCGTTAAAGGCTCAGGAAACCTTTGCAGGTGTTTTGAGTCAATTAACTGATTAGAGTGGGACATTGTGAGTCTACAATATTGAACTATTACTAATATTCAAATTTTCTGAGATACAGATTTTTGGGTTTTCATTAGCTGTAAGCCATAATCATCAAAATTAAAAGAAATAAAGGCTTGAAATATTTCACTCTGTGTGTAAAGAATCTATATCATATGAGTTTCACTTTTTGAATTGAATTACTAAATTAACTTTACCATGATATTCTAATTTATTGAGATGCACCTGCGTGTTAATTGTGGGTAGAACCAGCCAGCTGCTTGTCCTACTTAAACAAACGAGCAAAACTGAGTGCAACCTCTGCCAGCGTGTGGCAGATTAATGGGATGTGTCGTGTAAGAATGACATTTATTGTAGTGTAAGGACCTTCAAAGCTGCTGTCCAAACTCTGTAGGTTGAGGCCACTTGTTCCATTGAGCCAGATAGTCCAGCTATTCCCTGTGCCAGTTCTCCAAACTGAAACAATTAGGTTTCCTGACTTTCCACTGCATGAGTACTGTCCTCTTCACCCATAGCCGTGCTAGTCCAGTCAGTGGGATGAATTCTGTGCAGATTATTTCCTGTGAATATTCCTGATATTTTAGCAACTTATTATACAATTCTCTGTATTATGTTTTTTTTAATACATATCTTTAGCAACATACTTAATAGGCTTCTTTTCTGACAGATTCAGTGTTTTCTTCTCATTGTTCTATTGGCTCTTTGGTTGTTTCTAATGCAGGACGAGGCTGTTTATCAGAGAGTGAAGGCTCTGTGAATATTGTGAAAATTATTTCATTTAGTTTAGAAATCTGACACACTTTGATCTGTTTCCCTTAGTTTCCACAAAGACTAAAGTGTATATGACCTAAATAAAATGTTTAACTGTACAGTTTGATCAGTGATTGGAGCGTTGCAAAATCAGTCCCCATTAATCCATTAATATTGATTCTGATTGTTAATGAAATTTGAAAATAGAAAATAATGAATAAATTAATAAATCAAACTTACTGTACATACCTGGAGAAAAGTGATTAATAACACAATTCCAGCCTACTTTGTTTGATTTTAAAGTGTTGTTGTAGAGAGAGAGCATGTCCACCGTTCCCTCATGTAGAGAGGACAGCTGTTGGTTGCATGCAGGAAGTTGTCAGGGTCACAGAGAACTATAGGAGGAAGTTCGACTTGACATTTTGTTTATAGTGGAAGGCCTGTGCTGTCAGGTAGAATAAAATGCTGGAATGGATGTGTGCATTTATGTTTGCAGTACGTCATAGGGGGTCTTATCTAGGCTTTGACCAGGGAAAAGCGATTTCTTGTAGGTCAGGCTGCAGGAATGATGAGTCTAGTTCAGGCCAGAGCTCCTCTGTCTGTGTGACCTTTTGACCTTTCCTGCTGTTGTGTAGTCTTTCCTTCCTCCCTCTGCCAGGCTTCCTCTCCTCCGTTTCTTTCCTGCTGCTCCGTTTTTCACCAGAATTTTTGTCCCATCTGTCCTCTCTGTGAGGGGGTTGGAGGTATAAGAATACATGGGGTTGTGCAGTGTTTGGCACTCTGTTCTATAAATAGATAAATAGATATGTGTGTATGTTTGCTCTCTCTCTCTCTGTGTGTGTGTGTGTGTGTGTGTGTGTGTGTGTGTGTGTGTGTGTGTGTGTGTGTGTGTGTGTGTGTGTGTGTGTGTGTGTGTGTGTGTTTTTTCTGTCTGTCTGTCTGTCTGTGTGGGGCCCTATTTTCATGCTGATGCAGATCAAGTGCAGGACTCCCAATGTAGCTTTGGCGTCACATGTAAAAAGATATTCAGTAATTAAAATTTCAATGACTCAATGCTTGCAGAAATAACTTTAGGAGATAATATTTAAAAAAAATGAAATAATAATAATAATAATAATAATGGGAAAATATACAAAATACTTTTTAAATGGTCCTAAAACATACTGGAATCACTTTACCTACCATTTTGTTATAAAACTCATATTTATTGCATTTACACATCATACATTAATTCCTGATAATGAACACCAAATTTTGCATTAACCCTTACATATCATCCCATCACTAAGTATGATGATTATTATTATTATTATTATTATTACTACTACTATTATTGCTGAATCCATACAACAGTCCTCCACCAGAGCTGTTTGCCTCCACTTTTTCCTGCATATAAAAAGGTCTGAAGGTTTTCTTTTCTCCGACATCGCAACGTGCTCATTAATTCCCACAAAGTGAATACATAAAATTAAATAAATGACCACACAAAGTTGGTGTTTCGGGTTGTGAGCATCAATCATCGTCATCAATAGTAGAGTCCGACTGATATTGTTTTATTGAGACGATACCGATTTTTAGAGGGGAGAAATTTTTTAGGCCAATTGTGCAGCAATATGACAATGAAAAGGTCCTCAGAATGCTGATTTCTTAAAGTTCAGTAGTCTTTAACATGTTAAATAATTCAACATGCATGCTAAATTGTCAACCAATACTAGAAATGAACATCAGTACTGTAATCGGCACATGTAAACACCATCACATCGGATGTAAACAGCTGACCCAAAATCTGCAGTAGGTATGATTTCAGTCAGAATGGATAAAGTGTCTTTGATGTCTGTCTGTAGCTCAGCCTGCTGTCATTAAGAAATAAGATCATTGTCATTAAAAATAAAACCTTTCTTTAATGTGAGTGTCGGGCTTGAAAACAAACAGTATATTTTCATTCAAAAGGGGACATGAGTATGACATGACTGTGTTGTGCTGTGGAAATGTACATTATACTGAATTTATCAAGAATTATTAAGTTTTATTTCTAAGTGTTGAGTTTGCATCAACAGCATTTTATTAGATTAAAATGGAAGCAGATCTGATAACAGGGAGGCTTCTTCCTAAAACATCATCAAATGTACAACAGGAGAAATTCTGGAGGCCTGCAGATTTTTATTGTCTCGTAGTATTTGAATTATTAGACTAGTATCCTAGTAAATGTCAGTCCCATGATGTATTCGTGTCACAGTCACATAGCTCAGTATGTTGTTGTGTCTAGCTGCTTTTAAGCTGCTCCTGATGAAGAGATCCTGAACTTTCTAGGGCTTTGTGAATTAAGAAATGTTTCAAATCATATGAAAATTAACCCTCCTCATGTGTGTGTCTGTGTGTGGTTTCAGAGCGAGGCTGGAGATGTGTGTTACTGTTGCTCCCTCTCCCCCAGCTCCAAATGTCCCGAGGAGAAGCTGCTGGAGCTGCACCCCGCCCACTCCTGCAGCACCATGAGGATCCTGCTCAAGGTACGCTGCTGAGTGCTCTGTATGCTGAGACCTGAATACATAGTGCATGCACATTGAAATAGTTACACACATACGCATTTATAATCATCACATGTTATTAGAGAAGTCACGTATGTAAGGGATAATAGCCGACAAAGTGTTCATAATCAGGAATTAATGAGCTCCATTGATTCCTGACTATGGCCACCTCGTCGGTTATGCCACGGTCACTTGCCAAAGACAAAAATAAGATCATTATTTATATTTTCATGTGTTTTGCTGAGGCCATCAGTAACACTGCATACAAAACAATACAACAAACTCAGCCATGTCATCGTCCCCAAATCAATATCAAGATTTTCACTAACAATGTGTACTGAGGGCTGCAGCCAGAAGTCTTCAATACTTTGAAAAGGACTGGGAAGGATCGCTTATACAAAGTATGAGTAAGTTCAGAGGGGCAGTGTAGGGGTTTGAGTGTCAGTCTCCATCCTGTGGTGTTAAGAAGACGAGGCCCTGAAGGACTGCACTCAGATATATTTATGAGAGGCAGATTTAGTTTTCATTCAATTTATTTCAGAAGATTAATTTGGACTGGTGAACAGACTTAGTAGGTGTCCTCCTTCAGGAATTACCAGATACCCTGCAGCCAATCAGAATCGAGTATTAAGCCATATAACTGCAGAAGCTGATGTTGTCCTATGTTAACATGCAGAATATAGAGGACGGTATGAAGCAGCTGTGAACAACAGATCCTGTAATCACCCATAATCATTCATAGGTCAGTGCAGACGGATCTGCTGATGTTGCTGCTGTAACCACATTAAATGTTAGTACTCTGTACCGGCGACAGCGGTGACATTATGTTTTATGGTTGTCCGTCCATCTGTCCTTTGAGTGGATTTCTTCAAATTTGGCACACACGTCCAATTAGAGGACCTGACCAGGTCAAAGTTAATGTGACATCACAGAAAACGTTTTTGACCAATTTGAACAAACATTTCACACAGATGTTTAATGGGATGGAACGATGAAGTGAATATGTGTTTAACCCAAAACGTCAAAGGTCAACTTCACTGTGACATCATAATGTCTTGGAAAGGCTTTTTGTCCATTATTCACCACCATAACTCAGGAACACAAGGGGAGATTGTGACCATATTTCACAGTTGGTTGAAATTAGTAATAGTTTTAACTCAAACCTTGAAATAAGTTTCTAGACATAGTTTAAGAATGAAGGCAACACGTGGTGGCTGTTGGTATAAAAGGCTCATACTAAGGTAACAAAAACATAATGATTCCTTTATTCAAAATAAACTAAATGTTACACACTGGCCCCACGGGATTATTAAAGTATATCTGATTCTGATTCTGATTTAAACACATCTGCTGTTTAGAGAGTGATTCATTGAAATTGTTGATTTACAGTTCAAGCATTATTCCATCATTGCTTTAAGTATCTAGTTTGCTCTTATTGATTAATCACCAGTGGCAGCAGATTGGCATTGGTCCAGAAACAGACGTGCTCTATTCTCAGTGCAGAATTCCATAATAATCGAGCCCTTGGTCTGTTTGAAATATGGACAGCATATAAAATAGTTCTCTCTGCTCTGTTCTCACTGATCTGTGTCTTTTTCCCTCCCAGAAAGTGCTGTTTGCACTGTGTGCTCTGAACGCTCTGACCACAGCTGTGTGCCTCATGGCGGCGGCCCTGAGATACCTGCAGATCTTCACCACAAGAACACCCTGCATGGTACGATCACACCGCAGCCAGCTGTGCTGCAGCAAGGCTAATGTCGTTCTCACACTGGGTCGGTGCTGTGGCCTACTGCTCGGACGTTCCCTAATCAGAATTAAGATATGACATGATGATCTTTTTATTCCTAGAGCAACTGCACAACTTTGAGGAAAAACACACTGATTGTAATCAGCTGTCAGATACTGAAATATGTATCGTTAATCTTACTAAATACAAATAAGAAGACTGAAGAGAGCCCACAAACACTTTTACAGTGGGACAGCCCTGACCCTCACCAGATTAGCAGGACTGTGCACCATAGAGTGCGTAAGGGGGGGCACTGGAACTGAGTGAGTGTGTTCAGTATGGAGCTGGGGTCAGTATGTGGTTAGCCTAGATAAATAATACATAAACACTGTAACACTGGGAAACGGCTAGCCTGCTCTGCCCAAAGTAAAAAAAACTCCACCTTCCAACCCCTCTAAGGCTCACTACTTAACATGTGAGAATGGTTTATTGTTTATTCCCCATTAGCCACCGTGGGTGCGGTTGCTAGTCTTCCCAGGCTTCATAGCGTCTCGTCTGAATTATGTGTTGTGGTTTTATGGGGAGTTACGAGCTGGAGTGCACAGACATCAGAGTGCTATTGATCTCCTCATCTTGCTCTCGGGATGAAAACAAATAAACCTATTTTCCAAAATGTTGAACTGTTCCTTTAATAATGATATTGGGATAATAAATTACAGCTGATACATTTTTAGACAATAATAATTTATTGAGTTTTTTTGCATAACGATTGATGTTCTATGAAAGCCAGAGTCCATTTGTGTTTGTTCCTGCTGTACTTGGAGAACATTTGAAGAGTCAGAACTGCAGTGCCAGTCAGATTTGGTTAGCTCAGAGCTATGGAATATTAAATCATTTGTCTTTGCTCACTAAATCTCAGCCTTTCTTATCATCAAGTGTGTAACTACAGGTTATGAACTTCTAAAATACAAAAATGTGAAAATATCAGTTATCTTATCGGTATTGGCCATGAGAAGCAGGTAATTATCGGTTATTGTATTGGCTGAAAATAACATCCGTATCATGCTTCCCATGCAACATTAGCCCATCATACACATGGCAGGGTGCACAAACTAGCTTCATTGTGCTACAGTGAGTTTCAGAATGAATTTTTTACCCTGGAAACAGAAGCTGAGAAAAGCACTTCTTTTAGATGTTGGCTTAAAAGCTGAAATAAGCCTTGAACCTCAGGACCATGTAGATTTTTGTTACTTTTGAGCTGCAACTGAATGTCACTGTAAGCCAGCCCTGTGTACATCCTGCCCTTATCTGTCCACCCGTCATGCACACACAGTCAATTCCTGTGTGCCTGGTGATGTGCGTCTGATTTAATACCATTTATCATGAGGTGTGATGTCACATTTCCCTGATCTGTGATAGGACGAACCAAGGGCCACAGTGGAAGAAAGAGAGGAGCCTGCTCAGGTCCCGGACCCGGATGAGTTTGTGGCCCCGGCCCCGCCCCCCTCCTACTTCTCCACTTTCTACTCATACACACCACGCCTGGCTCGCCGGTAACAGCCCAATGTTCTGTTCCACTTTAACTACATTCTGACTGCAGTCCTGTTGTTAGTGTTGATTAGCCACATTAGCTCTGTAGGTCATGGTGACTCACTCAGTAGTTTGCTGGTTGACTGTTTCAGGATGCTTGGGGACAGCGTGATTCCTCTCCCTCATATCTACGGGGCTCGTATCAAAGGGGTGGAGGTCTTCTGTCCGTTGGACCCCCCACCTCCATATGAGGCTGTTGCTGGAAGCTCCACCAATGCAGTTACACAGGTACAGTATAAATTAGCATCCTTTACACTATAGCCCAACCAATGCTGGATTTTTGAGGCAGATACATAAAGTAAACCATACCATAAAAAATAATTTTGGTACAGATCCCTTACTTTATTTAAGAATTGTTACCCAGATACATACTTCCTGGGACATTTTACAGTTGAAAAACAAACTTTAACCTAGTTTGGCATTCATGCTGCAGTTTCTTGTTACTTCCCACCGACACATACATCGATATTCTATATACAAATTAGCTGTTATGAGCACAGCCAAGCATGCTACAAGTGTCTCTTAAACAATGACCACCTATGACTGACCACCATGAGCAAGTGCTGTCCTGTATTATAAGAGCTCATAGGGGTCAACTTTTTAATCTCATGGATTTAACACACTGGCATTTATCATGTTAATGAATTCCAGCTGTGCAGACATTATTAAATTAGTCAATACACTATAATTACCAACTCAACATCTTTTGCCTTGTTCATATGACCATAGCAGTGTGATGGTCTCTGTTTATTTCAGGAGACAGAGATCGCTCTGACAGAGGTGACTATGAGCCCGACTACCTCTCAACCAGGAGCCTCTGTTCCAGGTAGGACACACAACCACACTCCAGATAGAAATGTACCTGACATCTGACTGGCTGATCTGGGAACATAAAACTCAGAGACAACTGCTCTGTCAGTCCCTTCAGTTCCCTCTGATGGGCATTAACCTGAGTTGGTTTGGCTGTGTAAAACAAGATGCATGCTTTTGCTTCCCTTGTCTACAATCTGGGGCCACCAGTGATAAAGAAAGGTGCCTTGGAAGAGAACAAGGCACCCAGTATGCATGTAGCTGCTGCAGGTTGCACTGTAGACCACCTGCTAGGGACAAACCACAATTAGGTTCCAAGTGAAGTCTCATGATTTTCTAACAGATCGATCGCAGCAAATTTCACTGAGGAATGTCTGGGCTAGCAATCTGAAAATGAATTTATGAACTTATGAATATATTTAATATTGATATATGTACACTACCGTTCAAAAGTTTGGGGTCACTTAGAAATGTCCTTATTTTTGAAAGAAAAGCATTGTTTTTTTCAATGAAGATAACATTAAATTAATCAGAAATACAGTCTAGACATTGTTAATGTGGTTAATGACTATTCTAGCTGGAAACGGCTGATTTTTAATGGAATATCTACATAGGTGTACAGAGGCCCATTTCCAGCAACCATCACTCCTGTGTTCTAATGGTACATTGTGTTAGCTAATCGTGTTAAAAGGCTAATTGATGATTACAAAACCCTTCTGCAATTATGTTAGCACAGCTGAAAACTGTTGTGCTGATTAGAGAAGTTAAAAACTGGCCTTCCTTTGAGCTTGTTGAGTATCTGGAGCATCAGCATTTGTGGGTTCGATTATACTCTCAAAATGGCCCGAAAAGAAACTTTCCTCTGAAACTCGACAGTCTATTCTTGTTCTGAAAATGAAGGCTATTCCATGCGAGAAATTGCCAAGACACTGAAGATTTCCTACAATGGTGTACTACTCCCTTCAGAGAACACACAAATGGGCTCTAACCAGAATAGAAGAGGGGAGGCCCGGTGCACAACTAAGCAAGAGGACAAGTACATTAGAGTCTCTAGTTTGAAAATAGACGCCTCACAGGTCCTCAACTGGCATCTTCATTAAATGGTACCCGCAAAATGCCAGTCTCAACGTCCACAGTGAGGGCGACTCCGGGATGCTGGCCTTCTAGGCAGAGTGGCAAAGAAAAGCCACATCTGGACTGGCCAATAAAGGAAAGATCAAGATGGGCAAAACACGACATTGGACAGAGGAAGATTGAAAAAGTGTTATGGACAGACAAATCTAAGTTTGAGGTGTTTGGATCACACAGAAGAACATTTGTGAGCGCAGAACAAGTGAACGATGCTGGAGGGTGCCTGACGCCATCTGTCAAGCATGGTGGAGGTAATGTGATGGTCTGGGGCTGCTTTGGTGCTGGTAAAGTGGGAGATTTGTACAAGGTAAAAGGGATTTGAATAAGGAAGGCTATCACTCCATTTTGCAACACCATGCCTTACCCTGTGGACAGCGCTTGATTGGAGCCAATTTCCTCCTACAACAGGACAATGACCCAAAGCACACCTCCAAACTATGCAAGAACTATTTAGGGAAGAAGCGTCAACTGGTATTCTGTCTGTAATGGAGTGGCCAGCGCAGTCACCAGTTCTCAACCCTATTGAGCTGTTGTGGGAGCAGCTTGACCGTATGGTATGTAAGAGTGCCCATCAAGCCAATCCAACTTGTGGGAGGTCTTCAGGAAGCGTGGGGCAAAATTTCTTCAGATTACCTCAACAAATTGACAGCTAGAATGCCAAAGATCTGCAAGGCTGTAATTCTGCAAATGGAGGATTCTTTGACGAAAGCAAAGTTTGAAGGACAAAATTATTATTTCAAATAAAAATCATTATTTCTAACCTCGTCAATGTCTTGACTATATTTTCTATTCATTTTGCAACTCATTTGATGACTAAAAGTGTGAGTTTTCATGGAAAACATGAAATTGTCTGGGTGACCCCAAACTTTTGAACGGTGGTGTATGTGTTTGTTAAAGAAGACTAGTTCCTCCAGCAGAATCCTCATCTCTGCTCAGAGTCTGTAAGAGCTCTCTCAGATTTGGTGGAGAGGGCTCTGCTGTCAAAGTGTAAAACAATTCGCTATAAATGAGTGTCCCTGACTGACAGCCATTTGCTATTTTATTAGTTTTTATATATACCCTGTGATCCTTTGCATGTAACATCTAATTTCCAATTATGTGACAATGCACTTGCAATACAAGAATTAAGTATTTGGGAGTCTTAATCATGACTTTCAACCAATCAAATAGAAGTTTTGTTTGGAAGAATATTCAAGAAAAGCTGACTACAATTTGGCTGTGACCTCATTTTGTGGGAATGTGTGTGACTCTTCTCTGAACAAAGACGTCCAACCATCTTCTGTCAGTCTGTGATATTTAAGTGACTGTCAGACACTGCCTTTAGTTCTAATAGCACGTGTCCATCTGTCTTCGTTCGGTTTTAGTCACAAGTCCCCAAACAGTGTCGGCATCACCAGGAGTCCTTCCGCAGGCCAAGCCCCCGCTCCAGCCGCCGCCACCGCCACCGCCACCTCCTGCTCCTCCTCCTCCTCCTCCTCCTCATCCTCCTCCTGAGCAGCCGCAGCAGCAGCAACAGCAGCAACAGTACGCTCCAGCTGCGATTCCCTGGAGGAAAGCCAGGATCCACCGCTCCAACAGTGACCCAGTATTGATGGACCTCGCTGCTAAAGGTGGCTTTTTGCTCATGTAGAACTATGCAATCTTTGGAAATTGGTACACCAGTATGAGAATTGGACAATTGTGACAACAGTCCAGACTACATATATAGTCAGCACATTAATAAGAGTTTCACAAGGTTGTGTACTTGGACCAATACTATTTACTTTATATATGCTCCCATTATTAGGAATCACTCCATTAACTTTCACTGTTATGCAGATGATACGCAGTTATATCTATCGATCAAGCCCGATGAAATTAATCAATTATCTAAATTACAAACATGTCTTAAGGACATAAAATCCTGGATGAGCTGCAATTTTCTGATGTTAAACTCAGAAAAAAACTATATTCTTGTACTTGGCCCCAAAAACCTTAGAGACTTACTGTCTAAAGATATAGTTACTCTAGATTACCTTGGCCTCTAGCACCACTGTCAGGAATCTTGGAGTTATCTTTGATCAGAATCTTTCATTTAATTCCCACATAAAGCAAACCTCCAGGACTGCCTTTTTTCATTTACGTAATATTACAAAAATTAGACACATCCTATCACAGACAGATGCAGAAAAACTAATCCATGCATTTGTTACTTCTAGGCTGGATTAATGCAACTCTTTGTTATCAGGTTGCCCCAATAAGTCCATTAAGATGCTCCAATTAATTCAGAACGCTGCAGCACGAGTACTGACAGGAACTAGAAAAAGAGATCACATCTCTCCTGTTCTAGCTTTTCTGCACCAGCTCCCTGTAAAATTTTGAATAGAATTTCAAATCCTCCTCCTCACCTACAAAGCTCTTTATGGTCAGGCCCCTTCATATCTTAAAGAGCTCATAGTACCCTATTACCCCACTAGAACACTACGTTCTCTGAATGCTGGGCTACTTGTGGTTCCTATAGTCTCTAATAGTAGAACAGGAGCCAGAGCCTTCAGTTACCAAGCTCCTCTCCTGTGGAACCAGCTTCCATTTGTGGTTCGGGAGGCAGACACCCTCTCCACATTTAAGAGTAGGCTTAAGACATTCCTCTTTGATAAAGCTTATAGTTAGGGCTGGATCAGGTGAGTCCTTAGTTATGCTGCTATAGGCCTAGACTATCAGGGAATTTCCCATGATGCACTGAGCTCCTCTCTTCCTCTTTCTCTCTTTCTGCCCTCATTCATGTCCCATTAATGCATGTTCCCCGGAGTTCTTGTGCTTTTTCGTCTCGCAGGTTCTCATGGGTCCTGGTGGAGCCTCCTGCCATGGTCCTGCTTGACTGCCATTGCCAATATCACTGATATTAGTGTTATTATTATTATAAGTATTATTATAGCTACGGTTACTGTTGTTGTTGTTGTTGTCACTGCTCATTGTCCCCCATCGTTGCTGTTGTCATGTTCATCATCATCAGTCACTACTATTAGTGTAGTTGTTGCTACTGTTGTTGCTGTCTGTCTGTCTGTCTGTCTGTCTCTCTCTCTCTCTCTCCCCCTCCCCAACTGGTCGAGACAGATGACCACCCACCTAGAGCCGGAGGATCTGTCCTCTGTCCTAGGTTTCTGCCTTTTAACAGGCAGTTTTTCCTTGCCCTTGTCGCCAAGTGCTTGCTCATGGTGGTACTGTTGGGTCTCTGTAAATAATGTTATAAAGAGTTCGGTCTAGACCTGCTCTATTTGAAAAGTGTCCTGAGATAACTTCTGTTATGAATTGGCGCTATACAAATAAAATTGAATTGAATTAATAAACCATTTCATTCAGTGGGATGGAATTAATCTTTGTGGAGGTCAACATCTGCACACTTCATTACACTATCGACTGAAACTCATTTAATTCTTAACTTCTTTAGAATTTTAGCTTTTGTCAGTTCCTCTAAAAATGCAGATTTCTAGAGCTGGTATACTGTTATAAAGCCATCTGTTTTTGTTAAATGTGTCTACAGGAAAACATAATTCAACATAAGGGAATTATCCCCACAGTTTTTCTTGCCAGTTCTGTGTTAGACAGTAATGTGTCTGTCATGTCTGCCATGACCACCAGCTCACACACTCTCTAGTAGTAGTAGTAGTAGTAGTAGTAGTAGTAGTAGAAGTAGATCAGCTCCTACTAACTGAATTCATTCCAACAAGTAACTAGCATCAGGTTTAATTTCTCACGTTTATAACAAAGTAAATTTCATGAAAATTTCGGAATGAAGAGAGTTAACGTTGACTTTGTAATGAAGTCTGAATCTCTCTCAGTATTGTTAATCAGATCTTGACCTCCCCAATATATCAACCGTTGAGATGCACATCAAATCGAGAATCATCTCGAGGAGGAAGTACGGGTCGGGCAGTACAGCCAATCATAATGTGATAATGTGTTACATCTGCAAAGGCAGGACTCCAAGCACATCTGGTACCTACAGCGTCTCCATCTGCTATTTTGGTTCATGTATGAGCAGCACAGTGCAAAAGGGCTGGGTGATAAATCTCTGTCAGTCACATCACTGGTCTCATTGCACTGAAACAGCTGAGCCAATCACAGTAGAGGTCTTCATGGGTCAAAAAAATTGTGCCCAAACCTAAAAGTATGTGGAAATATACAACCGGCCCCAAATATGACCCGTCTATTATTTGAAAGCTGCAACCCTGAACTGAGAAATGTCTGACCCGAACTCGCTTCCCAGATTTAGCTGCCATTGACAAATTAAGGTTAATTTACAAGTTGTCAAAATAAAACTGTCCTACTTTATGTAATGTAAGTAGCCTTCCCCCCTGTGCCTGGCAGCACCCTGAACTTGTTTGGCCTAAATGGAACAGTTGGTATCATTAGTAACACCTGTGTTTATCCTACTATTTTTTTGTGAAAAAGGTCTATTAGGGAGCCCACTCGAGTATTAACATATAATGTTAAACCAAGTTGGGTTCTAGGGTTTGGGTGGACCCATGAGGACCTCTAAATCACAGTGAAGTCTGACCCAAATAACTCAACAAATGGAGTGAGATCTCAGGCAGATGGTGTGGAGTCTTAAACAGCTGTTTATTACAGTGCTGGAAATAATTAGAAATGCAATGACAACATGTTGGATAACTGTGGAGAACTGGAACCTGAACCATCTTCTTCCCCCTCTGATGTCTCCTGCAGTGCAGAGCAGCAGTGACGCTCCCCTCGCTCCCTCTCCTCAGACCACAGACTCTTCCACCCAGACATCGCAGCCCACGCTGGCCGCCCAAGGCCACGTCACACTGCGACGGGGCAACAGCGACAATAGGACGCCACGCCGGCCCCGGCCCTCCTCTATGGTGGACTACCAGAGCTACCGACACACGCAGCATCTGGTCAGGAAAATCCTGGAGCAGCCGGCAGCCCAGGGCCTGACCCCTGAGGTCCAGGAGCTAGTGGACAGCATACGACATGTCCTGCAGTCAGATCAGGAGCACATGGAAGAGGCTGTACGCTGCGCCAGTTACATAGAACAGGTATGAGTTCAGACATACAGATATTTGTCGTCCAAAAGTACAACAGTATTCATATGGTAATTATTAGAAAGCTAAAAGAATAACGTTAGCATTATTCTTTGTTTCTTACAGTTAACAAATCCCATCAAAAGTCCAAAACTAACAGGGTGTAAGTCATATTGTATATTAGAGCTGTCTAGGTGATGCGTTCTAAAAACAATTGCACATTATTCGACGTATTCAATTGTCTATTTTTGCAAATTAAACCAATAAATAGAAGACGTGACCCTCTAAATAAACTACTCTAGTAGTTTTATTTTCTGTGCTGGATGCAAAGCGCAGCTCTGCAACGTCGAAGCTGCTGTTATGATTTGGTGTTATTATTTCCAAACAGGGCTTTTTAGTTTGCTGCCACACTCTCTCTGTGATCAAGTTTGGTTGTGAACTTTCTGCCATCATTACCAGACAGTTGTACTTTATTCACTTGTTTCAGTTTGACCTACAGTTAATTTTTAAATCAATGAAAGTGACGGTGTCTGACTCCTGTCTGTCAAGCAGCAGCCCACACAGCCATGCTAGTGCCAGGTTTTTTTTTCCTCTTCCCAGAATATCAATTCTCATTATCAATTGATAATCAAATTCAGAATATTTGTTGACAGCCCTAATATATATTTAATCCATAAAAATACATTTTAGTTTCATTTAAAAAAAAAAAAAAGGCTCAGCAGTTTTCTAAAAAATGTTACTGAAATAGTTTTAATGGCAGCCATTTTGACATGCAATATTAGGACAAACACTACTGTTATCAATGAGACTAATTAAGTTTCTGTTGAACCTAAATGGAACAGTCATTAGTGCATTTGTTAGGGACTGGTGGGCTTAAGTCATAATTAACTGCAGTGTGTGTTGGTTATGAAAGGAACATGTCACCCAATGTAACTCATTTATTTGTTTTAATAGTTTTTGGACAATAATGGAAACAGAACGCTTTGACACACACGCACGCACGCACACACACACACAGACACACAGACAGGGCAGATACATTCATTGACTGTAAGACAAATATAGAGCACTTATGTAGAACTTATGTAGACTGAAAATCATCATCATAATCATCTTCATCCGCTTATGCGGGATCGGGTCGCGGGGGTACCAGGTCCAGCAGAGGACCCCAAACTTCCCTTTCCCTGGCCACATCGGCCAACTCTGACTGGGGGATCCCGAGGCGTTCCCAGGCCAGAGTGGAGATATAATCTCTCCACCTGGTCCTCGGTCTGCCCCGTGGCCTCCTCCCAGCTGGACGTGGCCAGGGCGCCTCCCGAGGGAGGTGTTCCTGGCACCAAAGCCAGCTTCTGGTCTGTCGAGGCCCCTGGCCTTCACTGCCACCTATTTGGCATTGCACCCGACCCCAGTGGTTTCTCCTGTGAGTGGTGGGCCCGTGGGATGAAGATGTGTCCACATCACTCTTTGGGCTATGCACGGCCACCAGGCGCTCACTTTCGGGCCCCCCTTCCAGGCTTGGCTCCAGACGGGGGCCCTGGGCTTCCTCCGGGCCGGGTCTATCTACTAGAGTGAAAATGTTACAGATAATGTTATTTGCTGATTGGCTAATAAATGATTATTCACAGAAACACTCTTAGATGTTAAGATACATAGATTTTTGTCTGTGGTGTCTAAAAAATGATTTTGACATGTCTTTAATGAAAATGAATGGTGTATAAAGTCGCAATAACACTTTGATAAGTTCCCAGTACAAAATGATTAACTAACTGATTGTGACATCTGGTGGTATAGTTGCAGATTGTTTCACCCTCCCTTTCCAACTGTGAGGGACAAACTACAGTGGCTGTGAAATGCATAATAAACATGGCCCTACCTAAAGCCAGTGTTTGTTTTATCCCTTCCAAGCTTCTGTGACCAGCGGCATGTGTAGATAAAAACAGCTCATTCTAAGGTAACAAAAACACAATGATTCTTCTTTTCAGGTGATTATACACTAATGAAAACATACTTATGAATATTATATTCCATTTCTGACAATAGATCCTCCTGAATGTTACACACTGGACCTTTTATATGAGTAACTAACTAGAGACTGTATAACATTTTGGGACCCTGGGAATGAGACTCAACTATCTTCAAGCTTCCAACCCAAAGCATCTTTCTCAGCTCTGATTGGTTGTTTTTGTTCAGACCCGGTGGATTCGTACAAATCCCTTTAGGAGTTCTACAAAGAGCCTTAGGAACCGGATGTACTACTGTCAGAACGCAGTGAAAATTCAGTAATAATGACAATGTCACCTACTACAGCTTCAAAGGTCCAGTGTGTAACATTTAAGAGGCTCTAATGGCAGAAATGAAAAATAATGTATAACTATGATTTCATTAGTGTTTAATCCACTGAACAAAGGAATCTGTGTGTTTTTCTTGCATTAGTGAGCCATTTCTATCTACAGACACTGTGCGTCACCTTCTATGGAGTCTGCTGTGTTTCTACAGTAGCCCAGAAGGGACAAACTTAACAGTGATAGGGGTGCTTTGTGGACACTGAAGTTTCTTCTTTGCACTTGGAAGGGGAGGGAGTTGCAATCTGCAACTACACTGCTAGATCCTGAACACTCTGGGAGATCATGGCTCTCTGTGAATCAATCATACTGATTAACTCAACCAGCTGCTGAACAGCACAAAACATTCATTACTAATTACCTACACATTACTGTTTCGTGCACCTCAAGTAAAGTGAGCCATAGTACTGAGTGATTAGGCTACTAATTAGCTTTGTCATGTGTTTCTTTTTTAAACCAAATGAATAATTTCTTATTTTCTTTGATATTTTTTGTCATATACAGATGTGCAATTCTGATTGTTATATTCACCAGCTGGTTCAGAGTTAACTGGGAACAGCTCCTGAAGAAAGTGGTCAATATGATTGATTCAGAGATATTCATAAACTTATCATTACTTAATGATTCATTAATAAGTCTGTTCCCTAGTAACTCATCATTACTATACACTAAACATTACTATATAGTCCTCTATTAGGAATTATAGGGGGAGCACTTTAAGTGGGCAGGGTACTGGAAAATTACAGGTTGCCACCAAAAGTAATGGAAGTACAGTACTGTGTTACTCCCAACACTGCTTGTTAATTAGCAGTTATTCCTAATTTATTCCCTGGTAACGACTCAAAATGTTGCGTCAATAACTGTAAAAACATGGAACCATGTATTCATATCGGTCTTAAACCTGCAGAAACCCTGGAGGCAGCAAACACACCTCCATCACAACATGAGCATCTGTTTCCTGTTGGCTTTCAGGCGTTCACAGACTCACAGATGGGCCCCAGTCAGCCTAAACCTCCCCAGCAGCAGCTAGCGGGCAGTTCCTCCCAGACGTTCCCTCGCCCCCCCAGGAGAAGACCTGGTCTGCTGCACCTGAAGAGCTGTGGAGACCTCAGCTCCTTCACCTGTGCCGCACTCGAGTCTCTGGAACATCGAGGAAACAGTAGAAGAGTGGGGTCGAGGGCGAGCTCCAGAGCAGGTTCAAGGACAGGGTCCCGCCTGGATCATCCTGAACGCCCTCACAGTCTGATCGGAGTCTTTAGAGAGACGGTCCTGTGAGGGAAGATTATAATGGTATTAATATGTCGGAGGGCAACACAGCTGGAATGCTGCCTTAACTCTTGCTAAACTTTAAGAGAACATCATTGTAATCCAACCACTGAGGAGGATGTGTGTGTGTGCACGTGTGTGTGCGTGTGTGTGTGTGTGTAATGTGTGCAGATGAGTGTGTATGAGTGTAGTTTTTTTAAAAAAACATTTTGTTCTGCTAATACAATTTATTTGTGAAATTGAAAAAATATGGGCAACTTGTACTGAAACATAGTCCCCTCAATGTTTTATATGCTTTCTAAACAGATTTTAACATTGTAATAAGTCTGCATTTTTTCCGGGCAACTCAACACAGATATACAGCAATACTTCAACATGTGTTATTTAATGGTCAGATGCACTGGCGTCAACATGTTAAATATTTGTTATTATTGGAAAAGTTTTACATATTTTGAACTGTGTGTTAGTCTGAAGACAAATTTACCTTTTTTTTTTTACCTGACCAAATTACACAGTTCTTTCAAGGAAACTGTTTGAAAAAGACAGACCTTTTTAATAAAGAGTTCCCAGACACAACTGAACAGGGTAGCTGGCTTTCTAGTTAGCAAGCAACAAAGTTTGGTTTGAAAATCGTGCCTATTTTGTGGAGCAGTGTGTACTCTGGAAGAGCCGGGTTATATAAAAGCTAATATGATAGCTCTATTTTGGACTCTCACTGAAATGTCAGCATTGTCAAGGTAGTTTGCAAATTGCATTAATTTGCACATTCAAAATTTAACTTCAAGTTCCATGCAGATGGATTTAACTTGTTTTGGCACTGAAACAACTTCCACTGAAAAATAAAAAATAAAAAATAATTTCATTTTATATTGATATTTTATGTATTATGTTTTATATTATTCAGTGACAATCTTCTGTTTTTCCTTAATGTCTGCCTTTTCTTTTTCAGTGTCACTGGTTTTCAGTTTCAACTTTTAACTGATGTTATTCTTGTCTGGCAGAGAGAAACAGGCTGCTTGTGGATTGGGATTTCCAGGTGAACTTGTGAAAGCCATCACCATGGGTGTGAGCTCAGAGGCCAGCCACCATTTGGATTTTGATGTGCATCTATTCATGCAGTTACGGTGCTTGGAGTGACAAAAAGAACTCACATTTCAGCATCATTTCACACATTATTAAATAACACACCATACCAAAATGGTGACACAAAGTTGAAACTGAAAAAAACGCGTTAATAAAAAGAGGTCAGTGAAAACACAGACGTGAAACAAAATTCATTGAAAAACATCAGAATACCAAAGAAATTAAGATGAAGTCATTTTTAATGTCTGCCTTTAATTTTTCAGTAGAGCTTGTTTCAGTGCCAATAAAACTTTCTAGTAAAAGCGTTTCAGTGCCAATGTTTGCTTTACAGTTCAGGTTTTGTTTTTCAGGTATCTTATTCTGATAACTCTTTACTTTTACTTCCTACATTTCTACACAAATATCTGTACTTTCTACTCCTTCCATTTTAAAAACAAGCTTGTTACTTTAGTTTTAATGCATTTGAGGGGAATTTTCTATTATTATTAGTTTTTTGCATCGTTGCACAACCTTCCAAACATCAAGACCGGTGCATATCACGCATGACAGATGTAACGTGGGAGGCTTGACCCTGTTTGAAGTTTCAGTTAGCTTTTCTCAGAAACAGCAGGTAGAACTGTCCCTCAGAGCAACCAGGAGAGTACTTTTTACTTTCAATCCATTTCAGTGCCTATACTTTCTCAGTTTGACTTGAGTAAAGAAGATGAATCAGTACTTCTACCTTTACCGGAATCTTTTTCTGTAGTAAAGTATTTGTACTTTTACTTTAGTAAAGAATACCTGTACTATGGCCACCTCTGTTTATTCAGCCTCTGCAAGTGAAGTGTAGCGTTTCCATTGCAATGAACAGATTTTGGTCCAAAAATGGTAGCATTGTGAATGTTGGTTTACAATGAACATTTATGTCCTTGGACAGCTTAAGTCTGTTGTATTTTTGCAGATAGGCTGTGCATGTTCAATAAATTTGGTTTAATTATTGACGACAGACTTCAGCTTTTTCAGGCACTTCTGTTTTATTTAGTATTTTCTAGGAAAATATATTGGAGCTTTCAGAAAAATCCAGACTCCCAGTTGTAATTTTGACTATTTACAAGTTGGAAACTGGTGATTATTTTAACTCCCACATTATGTGAGCACAGTAGAAACTGGCATTTTGGAAGAACACATGTTCTGTGAAGGCTGTGAACATATCTGTTTTTAGCTCTGTAGCTGTGCTACTTTTACTTATGTTCTCTTTATCACTGGACTGCACTGCTGTGTTTATCTTGAAATGGATGATTGTCCTGAGGTCTGAGGGTTATACCATTGCAAGTGATGGAGGAGGCAGAGGAGTGCTGAGAAGAGACACTGAAAATCATCACCATCACCATGTTTTTTGGGATGAAGTTTCTGGCAAACAACAAGGGCAGGCTCTCCAGCAGTCGGAGCACAGCGGCTATGCAGCTGCTTCACATCAGATCTGGCTCCAGTCGCATATGCTGGAAGGATTCCACAAGGTCTGATCAAAGAGAAACAGGTGGACAATTGAGCAGGATGAACAATATATTAAATATTTAGACACTGGTTTTGTCATTGGCCTCTGCCTACTGCACTGCCCGAAGTAGACCTTCTATATGCGTACAGTATGCGTTTGTACTGTATGTGCCATTTACGTTTCACCTGTTATTTTGCATTGTATGACCATATGCACATAGAGAACATCTATAAAAACAAATGACCTTGGTTCAGATTTTATTAAGCCCACAAAATGTCAAGGCGGTATTTTTATTATTATTATTTTGTGTTATTTTGCATTACATTTTGCATTTGCCCTCCTCACCAGAGCTCCAACAGTAGCCACAGTAGCTCTTTGCTGTGGCCTTGTAGCTCTTTTTTTTCATTTCTTGTAAAAGAATAGTAGCTACTCTGATTTACAACTCTCTCAACTCTGAACTAATGAAGGGGAAGGGAAACAAAAAGCAGATATAATTATCAAAGGAAGGATAGATATTTTGCCAATATATACGCCCCGCCATAGAGTGAAATACAATTCTTTAAATTTCTATTTGATACAATAACTTTTGAAAGCAAGAGAATTTGAGTTTGTGCAAGACACAGTTGTTAACTAATCTGTTGATACAAGTACAAAAAGACACAAATTACATAGGTCAATTATTTAATTATTAATTACAGAGTATGTTTTATGTTTGGAGGAACCTCCATGCGGTAGAAAAAGACCGTACACATCATTCAGCTACTCATCAGGTGCACTTCAGAATAGATTACGTCCTAATGAACACTATAGATAGATACAGGGTGAAGGAGTGCTCAATAGGAACAGCAGATATATCCGATCATAATTCAATTTATTGAATTACACAACTGAGTATCAGACCAAAGACACCGAGGATAAATATCAGCATTTTAAATAATGAGGTCATAAAGTAAATTAGTGATTGCATAAAACATAACAAGAGAATGACCAAGTAAACCCTACCATCGTATGGGACACGGTTAGTGCAGTAATGAGAGGGAGACTGATTTCAAGAATGGTGTATTTAAATGAGATGAGGAAGACAAAATAAAATGAATTAGAGGATAATTTGAGAAAACTAGAAAAACAACAAAAAGATGAGGGCAAAGGGTCGACAAATAAAATAACTAAAAAAGAACAGAGAATTTCGTGAATGACAAAAACTGAGATTCACAAACCAAAAGCAACGCCTCAGGGCACAACAAATAAAATAAATACACAAGATCAGAGACCCTTTAAGTAATAATGCAACCTACAAACCAGAAGAAATTCATAAAATCTTCAAGGATTATAATGAAACTTTATACTCACAGCCTAAGATTGTCGACAAAGGAAATATTAAAAAATAGTTATCTCCCCTCCATAGGAAACATACAAAATGATTAATTAAATGACCCTATCACTAAAAAAGAATTGGATATGGCAATTAGTAGACTGAAAACAAACAAATGCCCAGGGAGTGACGGTTGTCCAAATGAATGGTATAAATTCTTTAAAGACCTGGCCCCTGTATTGCTAGAATCTTTAAATTGGACACTGGACATAGCTGTGGCTCCTCCTCCATCAGTCATCCCAAAGAAGGTAAAAATTATTATTATTATTGTCCAATTTCTATATTGATCATAGATTATAAATCAATAATCTCAAAAAGAACTGATTGCTTTTTGCCCGACTTATTAAAGATCAGACAGGGTTCATATAAGGCAGACAAACACATCAGACGAACCCTACACATTATAGATATAGGTAGTTAACAAACCTGCTCAGTCTCAGTGTGGAGAAGGCATTTGACAGAGTAAGTTGGCCTTTTTTGCTATTTAACAGGCAGTTTTACATTGTTTAGCACTCACCAGGGCTGTTACCTTAGTCCCTCCCTTTTTGCAGTATTTATAGAGCCTTTGGCTCAAGCTATTAGACAGAACAAAGAGTTGGAAGGTATCAATATAGCAAAAGAGGAACACATACTAGTTTTCAGTGGATGATATTATTACTTATCTTTACAATCAAATATCAAACTCAACATTTCCCAAACCTATGGCAATTCTGAATGAGTGTGGTGGCATGTCCAGTTATGAAGTGAACATCACAAAAACCCAGATACTCTCACTTAACTACACACCAAGTAAGGCAATCAGACAGGAATACAAAGGGAAGTGGAAGTGGAAGTGGAAAAAAATATATGAAACAAATCAATAAAATACAGTGAGATATGATGAAATGGTCTGCACTAGTATTCAGCTCAAGAATCAAGGTGGTAAAAATGAATGCGCTACCAAGGTTGCTATCCCTCTTCCCATCACTACCAGTCAGAGTCCAGCAGGAGCACGGCCAAGGGTAAAATTCAAGACACTTCAAACTGACAAAGAAAACGGAGGCCTAGCACTCCAAAAGCTCAGAGAATACTATTATGCTGCCCAAATGAGATACCTGGTCTGTTGGCGCTCCCCAGAGAATTAAGGTATGGTAACGTATTGAGCTTAATCTGGGTCAGTCTCAACCCTGAACCAGGCTAGGTGGTGCCCAAAAATATTAATGCCTTAAGGGAGAAACCTCTATTTTGGAAGATTCATTGAACATTTGGAACTCTTGATTCGGCCTTCCCAGACCTCCAAGTTCAGTCCTGGAAAGATAGATAATACATTTGTAAAGTAGACAGACAATAACAGCTGTGTGTACATTCATAGAGTGAAAACCTTGAAAGCTTCAAGATCTCAAATGAGAATAAAATGTAGAAAATGAGGACCTTTTCAGAAGACATTTCTACAATACAGAAATCATGAAAAGAATTTCAGCAGAAGGTAATGAAGTCATTGAAGTGTTGACAGGTGCATACAAACAAACCCCCTCAAAGATTGTTATCAAACTGTATAGTAGTTTTCAAAAGCGAAATTGAATTCATTATATGTAAAATTGAAATTGGAATTAGAATACCTACCTACAAAAGAAATCTATCTGGACCTACAAAACATATTTGAGCGTTATAATGCTAATTTCTCACCGCAGATCAAGCGTACCAGTAAACCAGCAGTGGTGGTGGCAGAGGTGGGAGTCATATGTGCAAGTCACAAGCAAGTCCTAAGTCACTGCAATGAGAATAAAGCAAATCAAATCATATGGAATTCTATTTTTTTATATGGAAGTATTTTTTGGGGCTTTATTGCCTTTATTTGATAGGACAGCTGAAGACAGATAGGAAAGGGGGTCAGAGAGAGAGGGGATGACACGCAGCAAAGGGCAGCAGGTTGGATTCGAACCCTGGGCCGCTGCAGCAAGGACTGAGCCTCGGTACATGGGTCGCCAGCTCTACCCACTGAGCTAACCAGGCGCCCAAATCATATGGAATTCTGATGATTTTCTCCAGCTCCCATATTAAAATCTATTTAAAGTAGGGATACACGATATGGATATTTTTTCAGTTGATACAACAACCGATTATTGTATCAGCTGATACCAGTAAGTGATCATTTCACATTTTTGTATTTTAAAAACAAGTTCACAACCTGTAGTTTATGCACACTTGATGATAAGAAAGGCTGTTGAAAAGATGTGTTGAGTAAAGATGGGTAATTTAATCTTCCATAGGTCTGAGCTGACACATTACTACTGTTTACACAAAAAAAACCCAACAAACTCTTAAAATGTTCATTTAGTATTTCAACATAAGTGGCTTTCATACAAACATAAAACGTTTTGCAGAGGAATTCAAAATAAATGATTATTATCATTATCAACTGATAATTTAAGGGCTATAATTTCCTACGATTTCCTACACTTATAAACTCTTATAAAACATTCTCTTATAAACAAACAGCATTACTAAGACCAAATCACAGATACTTCAACCAGACCCACAGAAACTCAGATCGGTTCACTGGAAAAGTGGATTACAACAACAACATGGAAAACTTTATCGACCACTACTACCTAACCTTACAGTGCAACAAGCTGTATGCCTCTTCACAGCCAGCAGCCACCCACTCAGACCACACAACTAAACAACAAAAAGAATTTGAGAAACACTGATCTAGACAATAGTGGCGGACCAACTGGCCAACGTTGCCATCCTACAGCCTGGAAAGAAAAACATTTGGAAGAAATAGTTTGCTTTTTTTGGCTCTTATTTTTTGTTGAACCGTATGATTTCAAGTGTTGGCGTGAGATCTTTTCTCAGGTTGCTCTGCGAGTGAATGAACCACAGCTTATGTTCTCAGTTTGCCATATACCCAAATGGCAGTTCATTTGGACAATAACATATATAACCAGCATAAGAAAAATGACAGCAGACCAACTGAGGGAAGGAAAATACTATTATAGTATTTTCCTTCCCTCAGTTGGTCAAGTTCAGTCTATTGTCTTAGCGTTTACTGCCCAGGTAGTGTATGTCTGTAGGCTGTTGAGCTCTTACCTGTAGCATTGTCTGTATCCTGGTGGGAGCACTGAAGAAGCCTGGATGCTGCTCTGCACACTGCAGGGATGGCTAGGGATCAAAAACACCGGACACAAACTGCATACGGCAGAAGAGAATCGATTGTCAGCACTGTACAGTATTCCTCTTCATAAATATCTGTACTTTTTTGTTCTTTAGTGTAACAGTAAATGTCCAGTTATTACTGTAGCACAGTGTAGTATTAACTTTGCACAGAATAACTCAGTTACACATGAACTCAATCGGGTCAATAGGAATCCATCACTTAAAGTCATTATGTGAGTTACCACAGTTAGTAAGTAACGTATTCACACATTTAACTCCATTTCACCAGTTGGCTTCTGACTGGCAGTTCAGGAGAAAGTTAGGGGAAACTTAACTTACAGTCACCAGCGACCTCATGCTACATTTTCTGCCCCTCACTATTGTGAAAGCTTTAACCTTAATGCTGTTTGAAACCCACTTTGAAACTTTCAAAACCTTTATTCTAATGGTGAAGATACAAAAAAGGGAAATTTCAAATCACCTGGTCCAATATGAAATAAATAGCTCAGTCTCATTAAAAGTTTCAGACCTGAGAAACCTTTATTCTATTTGTGAAAAGGAAGTAAAAAGAGAGGTTTTAAAATGGGACATGCAAATAACTGTTGGAAAGAGCAAAGAAAGACTTACATATGAGGTTTTAGTAGTAATTAAAGGGCACCAATAATTTAAACAATAGTAACAGCAGAAGTTATTACCAACCGCAATGTAAATGAACCACATCATCAATAAATGAAGATATTTTTATTATGAGGTAAAAATAACTTTTCCACCTTTGTTTGTTTTGAAGTGAGACAGACAAGATGTTCATGACAAGCACACATTAAATGGACACATGGTATGTGGACCAACAAAGGCCATATTATGGTAATACTGTAAACTTAAAAAAAAAAACATTTCCCAATAGAATACGAAGTTCCACAAACGTGGATCTTTAGCCTCTGGGATAATCTAGTCAAGAATTGACCAGTCTAGGTGTAGTGATTTTTTAAATCTGGATTTGGTCCAATGTGGTCGAGATGTGGGGAAGAATTTTCACAAGCAGAATAAAGGTTGCAACCTGAAACTGTGTTTTAAGCTCTGAACTCTGGAATATCATACATTTTACCTTTATCACAAAACTGCAGCTTCCTGCATGTATGATTTCGATAATATTGTGATTAACTGTGCAGCCCCATTCTAGATATAAAAAAATACATGTTCAGAAAAAGAATAAAGGATTTGGAATTGTGTTTCAGACAGCATTGAGGCTTTACTTAAAGCTTCCACAACATGTCCGATCCTCGGTTGGTCGTATTGGACAATTCAGGAAAATAACTCAAAAGTGCATAAAAATCCCAAGGAAAAAAATCATTTAGACACAGTCCGCACAGTCCTTCTGCAAGTCATTTATTGTTGTAAATACTGTTACAAACATTCTGGCTCTGGTACAGGAATGTAGCTCCAATAGCTAGAACATCACAGAAAAAAGCTAGCAAATAAATAAAACATTGCTGCTGCTTTACAGAAATGGTATTTTTCTTGTATGTTTTTTCTATTATTTTTAGACACATTGAGAGTTAACGTTTCAGTTACATTCAAAATGAGTGCACTTATAAATACTTGTTAGCCAACCTGCTGCCTGCCACCAGCTTCAAGTGCTTGTTTCCTTGGTTAGCTTCGTTGTGTCACACTAGCCTATAATCCCTGACAGACCATGGAGGGAAAATGTCACACACTTTAAATTATCTTGTGCTCTAGCTGTATATATATATACATGAATGTCAATTCAGACTGTTTCCTACATTCCACTCACCTTAAAAGACCCTTCACATTGCTTTCTATTGACTGAAGCTTGCCTATAGGCCAAACCAAACACACAAAACCATTAGAAGTATATACCTTTACATAGTTTTCTATATAGTTCATCTATATGTGTATTTTATATATCCAGCTGGTTTTTGTTTGAACATGGAGTACATTGGTTGTAATCAAACACACCACACACACACACACACACACACACACACACACACACACACACACACACACACACACACACTAGAAGTGAGAAAGGTACAGCGTTAATCACATGGCTCCAGAGAAGCCCATGTTAAAAGTCCAAAAATGGCTACCGTCGCCCCATCCCTCTTCAGTATCACTTTTAACATCGTAAAAAGTCCAGTAGTAATAGTGGTAGCAGTAAGGCCAAGATGAGCTTCATCGATGAGGACAGACATTTGGAACAAGCAGTGGGGTTTACAGTGGGATACACGTTGCTACTTAGCCTTGAACTCGGAGGGGTGTAAAAAGAGAACACAAGGCCTGTTCACAATGTCCAACAGGGACATGACAGCTTGTCAAATCAACAATACATTGTGTAATGTAAGCAGGTACATTCCCAGAGAAACAGGAAGGGAGCCGAGGAGTTGGTGTTGGGTTCAAATGCTTTAGTAAATGGGAGAAAAAAAGCTCCTCAGATTCACAAAAAAATCCACATTTAGTGGCCTTATTCCAGTGAGTTATTATCAGTTTAAACATTACATTTAAGCTTAATCCTAATACAATCTTTGTTGAATTGACTGAACTGACATTGCAAGGAAAACCATTAAGTGTTATAGATGTGGACACCATAAGTCATGTGTGAAGCAAATCCTTCAGACTGGTTTATTTTTACTAGGAAGGACATGCATCCACCCTCTGTAGCTTCAAAATGACCTGTTGTTTTAGTGTAAACTCTACAATCATCAGTCATAGAAGAAAACATAAATTCAACTTCAGTCCAGGCTGAAGCCTCTGTGATGTAGTTGATGTCTGGTCTGAAAGAAATTACAGTACAGCTGTACATTTACAGTATATGGGATTAGTTAATAATTAATCATTTGAGGCTTCAATTTAAGAGGCTTTTGATTTCCATTTTGTCACTTGAGTTAACATGAAATGTATAGATCATTTCTATATCTTACAAGCTGTGCTTATTCAACTCAACCAATCACATGGTTTACACAAAGCACAATGGCTCAGAGCCTTTTTTTGTGACTGCAATAATAAATTGACCACCAATTTCCAGATATATTTCTTTATCTGACCATTGCCCTCTTAGCCAATGACAATCCTGCTATTAATTAAGACTGCAGGCCAAAGTGTCCAAAATCAGAGGACCACCTCCAGTAAAAGTAAACCAGTTTCAAGGGTGCTTTACATGTGTGTTGAGCTGTAAAATACATCCGTGCACATTAAGAACATTCAGCTTTAACATGTTTGACCCACAGAAGAAGGCACGAAAAACCTCCTTACTTTGCTCCTGGTTTTGACTTCATGTTAGTTTGATCTCAGCACTTTTACACAAACATGTGTCCATTTAAAACAGTAGATATCCACAGCATTAAACTTCCATGCCAGTGTTTTTTGCATGTTTTAGCCCATTACTTTTTGTCAACTACCTTTGTTTTTAGAGGCAGCCACTGATTTCCCTACAATAATGCTCACTGTGGTTGATTATCCAACCAAAGTGTCAAGTTTTTGCAAGCTGATTTTTTCTTTGAAAATGGCCAGCAGTAATGCAAGGAATATGAATTTTGTAGTAAATGGAATAAAACATATAGTAACACTGTCATTTCAGGGTACAGCCACATTGTGTGATTTTATATCCAGCCTTATTATGAGCACCATTCAAATTTGAAAAACTAACTATGATACAGTGTTATTCTGTGTAGCCTATAAATACACAATATTATCAAATTACCCCAAAACATTCAAAATAGAAAAGAAAAACCTGACTTAAAGATTCATGTTTCAGAATTTTGAACAAAAAGACCCATTGCACTTTTGATTGAGTGTAACCCCTGAACAGTTTGCATTGCAGGAACAGAAAAGTGACAGTTTTCTGGAAAACTGAACAGCCTGCAGTAGGGCTTTGGTGGACATTTGCTGAGCCGCTGCTCTTTTCTCTCTGACTGAAGGTCCTTCAGTATGACACTGTCAGTGTATGATGTGAAGACAGAGTGAGTGGCCTTAGAGTACATGCAGTTAAGGCTGCATTCAGACCAAAGTGACCCAAATCAGATTTTTTTTGCTCATATGTGACTCAGATTTTTTCATATCAGCACAAATCACACACAAATCTGATCTTTTACACTCTGATTTGGGCCACTTTCATATGTGGTCTAAATCAGATACAGGTCTGATCCGGATCCTGACCTGTTCACACTGGAATCTGACATTTAAAAAGTAATGTGAACAGCCAAACAAAAACAAATCAAATCTGAGCAATAAATCTGAATGGAATGCTAAGGCTTGCAGTGTGAATGCAGCCTTAGTGGCTGACTATTGTCAGAATTCAGCACATATTGTATTTCCATTGACGGAAAACTAAACTGAACTGTACTACTCTGTTACAGCTATCGCCTTCATAACTCAAAATAGTGTAATGATCCTGATAATATATTTCCCATTCATCTAAAATGCCCCTCCTTCCCACCGATCACGACTCCATTATTATCATTTATAAGAACATTAAAAATGTCACATTGAACTCATAATAAAATTCAAGAAACAGCTGTCACCCATTCACAAATGTGGTTATTAAATAATGCTACATGTAGAAATATGTATGGAAGAGGTCTTTGGTGATCACTGTAATGTCCTTCTGGCATTCACAGAATCAATGGAAAACTTATTAACAGAATAATTACACTGTTTTGTTATTTTAATGGTTCACTAAAGGCTACGCCTGGACTTCAGTGTTATTTCTTGGTTACTGTACAAACTGTCTCAAATAGCATCTGTGGCCATTATTTACCTCAAATGCAGAGAGAATCATGGGCTTATATTACAGACAGGATTTTAATCATTAGTTTTTGTAAGTATATTTCATCATATTTCGGTAAGAAGCCTCCCTGTTTTCGGATCAGCTCCTCTGTTAATTTGCTGTTAATGCTAACTCACCACTTCCTTCATATTTATCTTTACCTGTCTTGTTTAATTCAGTGTACTAATTCATCAGTACAACAACAGTTTTTTATTTTTTTACTGCAAAAAAAGTATAATTTTCACATTAAGATCGATAAAAAGTCCTTTATTCCTTCTCATTAAACATTCCAGAATGTATCAATATACAAACTGTAAAGTCCATTCTCAGTGGATGTGCACTGGTGGATTACACAGTACAAGTTGCATACTGGACCAGGACTCAAATCATGCTCACGCCCCTTAAAATCTGATTTTCAATGAGCACAGAGAAACTTTCCACTTTCAGCAGATGAATGTGAGAACATCCTTCTAGTGTCAAACTGTGCACAGACATTATTCTGCACAGTGAAGATCAAACATCCAACTGCAGGAACGAGAAGGAAAACTTTAAGCTACTGTCAACGAACAAATCCTAAATTAATGTTTAACATTAAAAGCCTTCCAGTGGCTCAAAGGGAATAATCCCTCCTTTCCCAAGTAGACTTTGAATGTAAAATATACGCAATGCTACATTTCATTGACAGTAGCTTAACATCGGTCAAAAAAATTGTTAAGCAGAAACAACTGGAATTATTTAATAAAGAAGAGTAGTATTTTTAAGAGCAGCAGAGTGGTGAGTATGACCTGACTATTGTACTGATGGAATTACTGCTGTGGATATTTATTTTAGGGACTGGCCTTTAAGTTTGTTCATGCCATACACGCCATTCCTTAAAGTAGTTTGTATGTTTACTCTTTTTGCTACAAGCATTATTTACTGCACCCACTTTAGGCAGTGGAGAACCCCCAAAACCCTGTATTAAGGAAACCAACTATGCATTGTACACTGTGCAGTATGGTGCTTTGTACATCCACAGGGTAACATGTTGTACCAAGCTCACTCCACATTATTTACATTATCCAACCAGCAATAAACAGTTTTCCTTAGAAGCCAAATAATTAAGCCTCGGTATCCTGGAAGTGTTTGTGTGTTGTTTTACGTTCTCTTTTTCAATTTAAGGGGAAGAAAGGAACTGAAATTCCTATATATTTATCAGCCTGAGGTAATTTAGACAACGATAGTTCCTGTGTGAGTCATTCCTGCATCTTGTGCAAACACCTTGATACAGGGACATTGTAGGTCATCAGGTTTGGCGTAACAGAGTCTTATGTGAGTCAGCTTTATGTTGGGACACACTGGTTGGACTGTGGTGTGTGGTGTAAGAGGGGTATTAGTTTAATGGGGTTATTACATGCTGACTGGAGCTACTACTGGTGCTATGTACAGCCAACAACTACTGTAAGAACCGACTAGAGTTGAAAAGCTTTCCTGTCGGAAATGTTGGAAGTGCAAAAATGGAGCTGCAGCGTCGACTCTTCGACAATGCAGCGAACGTGTGGAATGTAACGAGGGGGGGGCATGTGCGCACACACTCATTTGTCAGCAAGATTCACATATGCCCTCTGTGGAGAGCTCTGGGTTGTGCGAAGAACACCAACATAGAGTATATTGAGTGGATTAGTGGCAGGAAGGAGAGCTGAGAGCGAAAGCAAGTTTGGTCCCATGAAATGTGGCTACAACATGAGTGTATAAAATGCCCATAGAACAACAACAAAAAAGATTTTTTCACATAAATGATTTGGTGGAGGTTAAACAACTAACACAGGCAGTGTTCTGCCATTGAAATAGCAGCATGGCAGAAAGCACAGTCAGGGTTGCATGTGCGGATTGCCTTCAAGTCCACAATCAGGGTTCAGTTCCCATCTTCCAAACATAAGGGTTCTACTGTGTAAGGAGCTTTCATCTTTCTTATTTAACAATGACCACATTTGTCATCAAACTGTCTTAGTTGCCTAAACTGAACATTAAAGATACACAATTTTCATAGTGCTCCGAAGATTGAAAGTGTGAAATAAGTGAACCAGGAATAAGATTTTAGGATTCTGAGTGCTGAAAATGCATCAGGTGTACACATCACTAATTGCACCTTCAGCCAAAGTACACAAACAAATCTTTTAGTGAATATAGATGGGATAATTTGGGTTTCTATGTTATTGTCACCTTTAGATGAGGCTGAGCAACGGAACAGTCCTACTGACAACTCACTATGGTCCATCAGCTGTGGGCAGGAGGGTACAGGATGAGCACTGGGCTGAGCAGAGGGGGTCGGCTCGGGGAGTGACGGTTGACTGTGGGAGATTTAAAGGGCGTGTGAGGTCAGGGCTTTGTCTTGCTAAATGTAAACAGGCTGCTCCTGGGCGGTCAGCAGGCGGTACATGGCTGCAGGCATCGTCTTCATGTGGATCTGCGACAGTCACAAACAGAACAAAGCATTCAGTTCATCCAATTATTAATAGTAAATGCCGTTGAAGATGAAGTGCCAAAGGCTAGCATTCACTGTTGCCAGCTCAGACATCCCAGCGTACACTAGCCCACTTGGCACTTGGGTTTGTATACATTTGGCTTGGTAGTGCATGGTGAAGTATTTATCCCAGTTAACTGGGTCCCTAAATTAGGATGTACCCTTATCAGGCATTGGGAGTAACAGTTACATAATCAAAATAAGGTAACTGTAGTCCATTACATATGTGGATTATTAGCAGGATTACAATTTTAAATGTATTTTTTCTTTAAACATACATTGAGCAGAGGACACATTTTTGATGCTAAAAATAATATACTTGTTTCTTCACCAAATCCTTTGATGACCAAAAGACAGGTTTACAGAGGATGTTTGGATACATCTAGAAATGTTATTTTTTCCAATTATTAATCACATAAGGCTGGCATTATTTTACATTTTGATGATACAGTAGTGAACAAATCCCCACGAAAAGAGCAAAACCAACAGTGTGTTAGTCCCTCTCTGTGACTCTCAGTCCAGATCCCATTGGTTCCTACGGAAGATGTAAATCTTTAAAAACAGCTAGTTTCATTATTTTTTTAAAGTTATGATTAGGAAATGTTACTCAAACAAGAGGACATTCGTTGGGGACTATTTTAATATATAAAAACATCCAAACTGATTCCAAACGTCTAAACAGTAGTGTGTGTTTCCAACTCTTCTGACCTGGGACTCTAAACTGGGAGGTCAGGATGTTGTATTAAAGCTTGCACTAAGTGTTGAGCTGCTTGCACTGGGTGCACTGGAATGCTTCGTTGGTGTCATGTAGCTGCTGTTGCTGTTTATAACCAAGCAAAACAGCACAGTTGGAAGAGTCTGAGAGAGAAGTCTTTGCAGCAAAGCCAATTAGGAGACATTTGATGCCGTTTCTTCTGCTTAGCAACTGAGCTGTGACATTCACTGCTAATAACTCCAATAATATGGTCATACAGAGCAGAAACTGAATGATAACCGCCACTTATTTCCCCTTAGTTCCTTCATGTTGTGAAAAGTGGCAGGAGTGCTTTGGTAAGTATCAAAAATCTTACTTGCATGCAGTAACTTTAATGTGTGTGTCGATTGTGACGTCTCACCTCTCCCACAGCGTTGGACAAAATGTGGACAATTTTTTCATGGGGCGTGGCCACCACGCTCTGACTGTTGATCTCGATAATGCGGTGACCCACTCTGACCCCGCCCCGTTCAGCGATGCCCCCACGCATAAGGCTACAGATCTGTTAAAGAGGCAGATCAGTTCTTTTACACAACAAGCTTTACTCAAGCACTTTAACAGAACTGCAAGTATCATTTGACATAAAGACAGAGCGGAACCACAGTGCTACCGACAATGCCATTCTGGACGCTGAAGCCCAGCTGGTAGCGGAGGTCTGGCCGTCTGATAAGGACAGTGGTCACTGGGGGACATCTGACAATGTTCATCTTGATCCGTGACTGGTTCTTCAGACCCTGCATAAAGAAAGCATATGGTATCAGTGGAATGTCAAATGTTTTATTCTAAAACTCCAAAGAAAGTAATTGCCAAGCAACAACTTTAGATTGATCATAATTGTATTAATGAAAATATTAAATCTGGCTTCCATCAGCATCATACTATTGCTATACAATTGTATTCTTATTGGTAGGGTGAAATACTGGATCAGAATGTCTGGCTTTGCCCTAAACTGGTTCTCCTCCTACCTGGAAAAGAGCCAATCCCGTCTCTTCAACGGCCAATGATGGGTTTGGATTGCCTCAAAAATCAATTCTAGGTCTCATTTCATTTTCCTGAAATATGCTCCCTCTCTTCAATATAATTTGCTGCCATGGCATATTATGATTTTTTTTTGCTGACAACACACAGTTACACCTTTCATAAAGCCCACCCAGCTGTGGTAAGCTGGACTCGTATTATCGGCCCTCACTGCATTTCTGAACAGGTACGGAAATCAAGTCACCATTTTGCATCATTAATCGTAGCTTAAAATCTTCATTCCTAACGTAAACTTTAACCACTAGCTCAGTTTAGTTTATATCAGTGAAATAAGTTTGATAGATGTAATTCTGTGTCTAAAAAGACACAAAACGGCCATACATGCCACAACCAAGCAGGAGGTATAGCCAACCACAGTGAACCCAGGGTCTGTGCAGTGGTACGCATGCCCTTTCACAATCAGTATCTTCATTCATAATATCCATGTCATACAGATACCTTAATGATGCTCTGGCAGGTGGACAGTGGCAGTCCCACTAGACTGGTCCCATTGATGGACATGATCTGGTCTCCTATGTTCAGTCTGCCAGACCTCTCAGCTGGCCCAGCATGCATCATGTTGGCAATGATGACAGTGGGCAAGATGGAGCCCCATCCACTCTCCACAATAACCACACCCAGAATCTCCCCCTTAGCTTTCTCTATGAACACCTGAGGTCACAGCAGGCAAAAACAACCATTTTAAAGTCAGAGTGAAATTAAATATTACTTTTCATTTTTACATATCATAATGCAAAAAGACATGAAATAATAACTGTAAAAAGAATCTGGAAGTTCCGATTAGCAGCACTGCATGAACCACTTGGAGTGGTATAGAAAATGATCATTCACTTTTTGAGCAGTGTATGACTTAATTAAAAAACCAATTCCTTTTAAAGAACCAGTAAAACATGTTTATATGATACACAGTCCTACTTACATCTTTGCAGTTTTCAGACTTGGAGAAGTGAATGAGGTCGTCATTGTACATGTCCTGAGTGTTGAGCAGGTCACTGTACTCCTTCTGGCTCAGGTCCTCAGGGTTTATGCCATTGGCCCGTAAAAATTCCTGGTAAGCCACACTGAAGGCCTGCCCGATGGACTGGGCAATCAACTGGGCCTAGACAGGATAGGTAGAGGGAGAAATGGCAGACGTAGAATTTTTCAAATAAATATAATCAGCCCAGGTTGTATACTATCTGTAGTTAATTTCACAGCTGATATAACTGTAAAAATTACAAAAACTGCAATGATCTGACAAAAGACATCATGTAACTGCTGTTGGACTCACATCCTCAGACTCAAACACGTGGCATATCATCTTGTACTGGCGCTTGCTGTCTTGTTCTGGGTCTGAAGCCTCCACATTCTCCTGAGAGTCGGGCCGAGGCATCCTACGCCGGGCCATCAGAACCACAATGTTGCCAATGTCAGCAATGTACGAGATGGTCCGCAAAGGGTGATCCATCATGGTCTCCTGGAAATCAGACAACCAAAAGTAACCAAACATAGCAAATTTAAGTTAAACCAAATAACCTGGACAGCCACACAACACATCCACTTGAGGACAAATCAGAAAAAGACTGATATAGTTGTTTTTGACTACACAGTCATGTTTATGTGTGCATGATGCACATTTTCTGCACTGCTTGTAAAGGCTAAGACCTTTCTAATATCACATAAAATGCAATTTAATACCTGTTTCACTGTCATACTAACCAAACTATGAAAGATATCAATGAAAACCAGTAGGAATGATATGGCCTGAATTTTTGCATGCACTTACTGACATTTACATCACACTTTCATCACTCCTTCCCAGATGTACTTTATCAATAATTTCTAATGATATCTTTAATCAATCATTAAACAATGACAGCAGCAGAAAATGGCTGGATACATGAATGGATGGATTAACCAATAAAAAAATACCTGTAATGGTTTTATATATTATATATATATAGATATATATATATATATATATATATATTGAAAATGAATATAGCAGCAAGCAACAACTATTTGCTATGTAAAGATATAGTGGAGTCATGGTCCTGAGCAGAGAATGAAAGTGACAGTGATATTACGGCTGTTTCTGGTTAAACAAAAAGTCTGTCTCTGTAGGGATCCTTTCCATAATGTTATCAGACACTTAGAATAACAGTCTGAGACTGTCAGTGGCAAAAACAAGCACTTTTAGTCGACATAATTTGACAGAAGCATTTATCCCCAAGGATACATGTTATCTTATGTTGTGGCCATTGCAGCCATTTTCTTTCTTCAAGACTGAAAGAGACGACTTTGGTGAGTTTTATTTAATTTCTGTTTCATTTTGGCCTGAGATGCTGGTGCTCTAGTGCGACATCCAGTGGCAAGTTAATTATTTATTATTATTATTTATATAAAATCAAAGGTCTGCTACCATGGTACTAGAGATTCTCAGTCAGTTTTTGTTTCAGTTTGTCGAGAATGAAATCAGTGTTTATTTAGACTGGCAGACAGCCTGTGTCAGGATGTGAAGTAAGGTCAACAGCAGACTCGTTGAAAGGTTTTAAATACAGCAAAATATATCATCTACAGTTCGGTGGTATGCTGCTGCTTTTTCTGCACAACAATTGATCCCATCAAGGGCTATGCATATCACTAATATAACTGTATCAGTTATGGATGGCATTTCTATCAAGAGCTTCTTATCCCTGCTGTGATACATATTTCACAGTACATGCAGTGATTTTAAACTCAAATCGATGTTGCAACATTTCAGAAGTTATTTCCTGGCCATAAAGTCTTTACTTCCTGAATGAACTCTCAAACTCTGTGAACTGGAGTTCACTTTTTAGCTGATCTTGAGCTCTGGTTATATTAGAATAGCTGGTGACATGAGGGTCCTTACTGTGTTGTATGTCAATGAGAGTGAATACCTGGGAGTCAGCGTTGAGCACTTTGATTCTCTGGGTGGAGATGAAGAGATCCACCTCTGTCATGGGCTGAGGCTCGCCCTCAGAGGCCTACACACACACATACACATACACAGCCACATTGACAAAAGCAATATTAGACACACATTCATAAAACATTCATCCAGGCAGGAAAAGGCCAAAATGTTAGTGAGTACATGTTCCAGGGTCAGTAACCGTCTCATTACAGCCAGGGCACACAGTGAAAGAAAACATACTGAAAGATAAAACAGCTGCTAAATGAATAACAATTTCTGATCCATAAACCCCAAAATTGACTAAGAGAAAAGTCTGCAGTCATTCTGTATATTTTTGCTGAGAGGTGTGGGACCTAAACACTGACTATGTAACTGTAGAACAAAGCAAAGACTATTACATTGTGTATGCAAGATTGTCAAGAGGACCATAGTCTTTAAGAGCTTTATGATCTCCAACAGGCACCGGTTTCATTCCCTATGAAAACCACAGAGTCCAGTAAGTCTGTGTAAAGGGGGAAATTTGTGCACATAAATTAGTAATTTGTGTTCTCAAATTATGCATGAGCTAACAGAACATACTAAACAATACTAGTTACATTTGAATGTACTGTACAGTACATAACCAGTCACTGAAAACCAGAATCACAGAACTGTGTTATTACTGTGTTAAGTTATTATCATAATAATACAGTATGCCAACCTGACACTGTGCATGTGCTAACTGCAGAGGCTATACAGTGATCAGCAGTGCATGTAGTTAGTATGCCACATGACTGTTAAAGGAATTCAGGAGTTAGTTCAACATTTTGGGAAAATAATTGCTGCTGTCCTACCCAGAGTCACATGACAAGTTTCTCTGTTTTTAAAAAAAAGGGGGGTTGGCCTTTTTTTTTTTTTTTTTTTTTTTAAAATTTTTTTTAAAACTTTAAAACCCCCTTTCAGCCGAGCAGTGTAGGCTCCGAGTCTGAGTGCCCTAAGGGGAACTTATGATCATATCAATATCGACATTTCTACATTCACATAATAATCCATTCCACACAAGCTGTCTGCCTGAAATTATATTATTATATTTATGTAATTAGTACTCATTTTAATGTTGTAGCCAGTTAAGGTGGAGCTAATTTTAACTGTTAATTTAGTGGTTTTCAAACTAGGGTGTGGGGATTCCTTAAGACAAAACCCTCTCTAATAGGAGGTCTATGGTCGAATATGGATCTATTGTGGGGGTCCTTAAAGTGATAAAGTTTGGTTGCTCAATCCCCAAGAACACATAATTATAAAGGCTAAAATCAAAGTAAATAACCAACAGTTACATGTTATGGGTGTGGAGTTAGGTATAAAAAAATGTTGTAAAAAGTAGTCACAGTAACACCAATTTGCTACTTTGCTCCATCAACAATGAACTATCTTCAAGCCCCCAACCCAGAGTGTCTGTCTATCTTTCTCAGCTCTGATTGGTTGTTTTCGTTCAGGCCCAGTGGATTATTACCAATGCCATTAGGAGCACTAGGAGGAGCCAGAGGATCCAGATTTTTTCACAGATTAAAGTTTCAGCAAATATGACAAAAGGTTATTTTTATAAAATGTACCTACTGCAGCTTTAAGTAGAGTACTAAGTAAATGTACTTATTTACATTCCCCCACTGCAGACATAACATCAGTGCGTTATCATTGTCATTGTGATGCTGACATTAGCATTCAGATTAAAGCCGAATTACACATTAGCACAGCTGTGGGACCTCTGCCTGTACTAGACACACAGAGATGATTTAACATTACATTTTATCATTTGATTCTCGGTAGGTTAGCAAACAAGAGCGTGTAGGTTATTATGCACAGTCATACACGGTACCACTACAAATACAGAACCAGCAGCAGAGAGAGAAAGCACATTGAATACGACCACAAACCCAGCGAGACCTCACAGTGTCAGAAAGATTACAGCTGTTTCCTGCATCCAGCAAACTGGATCCCTTCCATGGCAAGCAGTCAGCCAGTCTGACAAAAACTACAGTGTTCCAAATTATGGACGGAATAAAATGTCTGACATGGGATGAAAAAATGGCGAGGGGACCGGAGACCCGAGGGAGGGACCGAAACAATGAACATCACCTCCAACAATACAAAGCTGGTTGCTGGATTCAGGAAAATGCCAACAGTTCATCAGAATGACAGAAGAGGAGACAAAGGAGAGGACAGTGATATACAGAGACAGACACAGAAAGAGACATAGAGCCAAGCAGAGGACAAAAGAGAGGCTGTGCTCGGCAGTGTGAAGGACGAGACGGATATGTAGGTACTGCACCTTCTTCCTGTTCTGGGCTAATTTCTGGGCCGTCTGCCAGGCATGGAATAAAGCAGACAGGAGAGTAATGGGTTAGAGCAGTGCACAGGAGAGAGCGACTGGATCACAGGGAGGGAGGCAGGGACGGGGTCTTCACTGAATGTCAGATATAATAACCTTAATCTGTAGCGCCATTGTACTGTACACTGTTACTTTGGTTCACATTGTGTGTTCATGTACAGGTTGTTTGTATGTTACTGTATGCATGTGTGTGTTACGGACGTCACAACTGGTGCGGATGTCTTTATATATATCAGAAACTCAACCTGGACCTGTGGTTATCAAGCATTACATTATCACTACTAGGAACTGAAAGTGACACTAGGACTAGTCCTAACTCAGACCAAAACTGAGCAAGAGTGTTTTCCCACCAAAAATCTTCCACACAAAAAAGAATCTGAAGAAAGTGAAAAAGCCTTGTTTCTGGGAAATGAGTCTTATTTTTTTGTCTAAAAACTAAAATAATTTTGTCAAACATGTTTTGCATTAGAAAAGTAATCTGGTTTTAATAAAATATATCAAACTTTGTGTTAATAAGATATTACAGCTAATATTGAGCTCGACTGAACCAGTTAGTTCCAACAATGGTTTGCAGAATATCCCAGCAGAGGAACAAGATTATCGTCCTTATTTTAACAGGAAGACACTCGCACAACTTCTCAGTTTAACAGTAGTAGTCTCGTCCCAGTGTTAGAAATGAAGCAGCTGTTTAGTTTTTCATTGTTTTAATAAATAATGCTAAAAATACATAAGAATGCTTCTCGGGCCTTCATTTAAGACAATGTCACGTATAAATTCTTAAATTCAGGTCGATAAAGTGACCAAAATACTTCTTTTAAGAAACTCTATCTTAAATAAAATAAGAGTTTTCAGTGCTTGTAATAGGCACAGCTAGCTTACACGTTTGTCTTTTTTTTCTATTTTTCAGGCTCATTACAGTCTTTCAGTGCTGTGATAGATAGATTTTAATGCTAGTTTTAAAAATTCTAGCCAAGCAAAACTGGCTTACCCCCACTTTATTTTAGTACAAGAAAATGTTATCATATTTAAGTTCCGTTCAAGATTCTCAATCAGTAGAATATACTACAACATAATATATAATATAATAATACTGCTATATTTTGGTTACAGCTGGGAACCGATTTTTCCGTTCCCGAAACAATTTATTTTAGCTCAAAATGCTCCGAACGGCTCAAAACTAGGTGCTTGAACTGGAGCCGGTTCCCTGTGGGTGGAAAAGGCCTAAGGGAGCGATGAAGCTTCCTACACTGACTTTCAGCAAGAGAATGACTACTCCTCCTAGGACAGAGCGTGATGTAACTGTTTTAGCCTCCTAAGACAAAGCAATTCACATTTTTCCTCTGTGGAGGACATGACACTGAGAAACAGAAAAAATTTTGATCTGTGGGACCACAGCCTATAAACAATGTCAATCTGCAAAAGGAAGTGGACTGTCCACACCATCCTGCATTTATTAGACAGGGTTCCCGCACTTTTTAAGAAATCCTTTTCCAGGACCTTTCCAGGACATTTTCTAGGAGTTTTTCTAGACTCTCAGCTGCAGATTTTTTTTTTTCTGCTTTCTGAATTGACTACAATAATTATAACATTGAATAGGCCACAGCACAGGCTAAAATACAATTCAAATTTCCAGAACAACATAGATTATTTCCAGGAGATTTTAACATTTTAATCCATTTCCAGCTGTTTCTATGACTAGGAAACTAGTCTCTACATTTCCAGGTTTCCAGGTCATGAGGAAACCCTGTATAATCTCAAGGCCACCAGCAGGAGAGGTTGCTATACTTATTGTGGAACAGACAGACCCAATGTCCACTACAAAGGACATGTTATAAAAACAAATAACAATTTTGACAGTTTTGCGATATGTTTTTTACATCCACATTGATCAAATTATGTTTTAAAAAAATCTAAATATTAAGTTATTTTAGTCCTGAGTCTCAGGAGGATATAACACAAAGTACACTTTGATGGCATGTTGTAGTTTTCTGACAGTTATGTTTTAAAATACTGTGCCAGTGGTTAAATTCAAAATGCAGAACACAGTTTTGGGTGTAGGTTTTACATATAAAGGCAGTACAGGCCACTGAGTTATCCAGGTAATGCAAAATTACAATGCTAAATAAAGAAATAGCCTCAATCTCATAACTATATTTACCAATAAGAAATATGCAGTTGGCTGTAAACAATGGCTACTTGCTTAATACATGCACATACAATTGATAATAATAATAAAATAACTGTATACTGTCAGCCCCACCCAATTGCATTGTTTTACAGTGCGCCTGTGCATATATTGGGAAGTATTGCACACACAACAATGATGCTGCAACCCCTCCCTGGTCTGCAGTGCCCCTCTGCATAAAGACCACTCTTCACATTTCAGCTACACTCCTAGTTATCTGCCCTTACAGGTGGGGAAAATGTAGGTATTTCTGTAATGTCATATGTTATATTACAATATGAAATGAAATAGAAATAGATAGTCATATCTTATATTACATTTGTAATATTAGATTTACGTATTATTATTGTTTATTGTTCAAGTCCGCTCCAGTAGCTTGTCTATGTTTCCAAAAGCAAGTACACTGCAGTAACCAGTGTTGGGCAGTAAGGTATTATTAGTAATATTACTACAGTAATAATATTACTTTCAACAGTAACTAGTAGTGTAACTAATTACTAGTACATTTCAGTGATAATATTACATGTTACCCCCCTAACTAATTGTAAATTAGTTACAACATTAATTTTGTTGTCACCCCTCTATTGATTTGATATCCAACAATCCAATCACATCCTTGGGTTCATTTCTGTAATCGTGGAGGAAATTAGTTAGGAAGATGGAAACTCTTACATTCAGCTGATGGAAAAATTCCCTTACTTTGATTTTAACAAACTGAACTGGATTACAATCTTCGCAAGTCTGACTCTGAGGCAGAAGGGACACAGTTACCAATTCTATGGGAAGTAGTGTAACTTACACTGTTGGCAGGGCATAATAAGTAATTACATTACTTTTGAAAAGAGTAATGAGCAATACATTTAATTTTTTTAGTAACTAGCTCAACACTGACAGTAGTACAGCTTATCTAGTTACTATATAATAGTAACAATAATAATAATAATGGAATGTTCAGTCTATAATAGAATGTTATGGCTGTATATTAGCCATAATGTCTACTTTGCAACTGCTAGGGTTGTAAAAGCCTTACTCACACTCTCTCCTAGAAGCAGTGGTCTTTCTCCTGCAGAAAGCTAGTCCTGAGCGAGGACTGGTTTTTAGGCCTTTCAGCAAGATTCCTAGAAGGGATTTTAAGACACTTGGAGAATACAGGGCCCATATAGTCAAAGTCCTGAACCCAACAGAGGCCTAAATTCTCACTCATGCCAGACCTGTGATGAATGATTCACCACATTTGGCCAAGTGTACTGCACTGGTATGACTTCTGGGTATTTGCCAGGGCTCCTATATGGGCCAGAACACAGTGGAAAATGTCAGTTCTCCACAATTAGCCCGACCTGGGAGGCCGTGCAGCATCTTGATTCATTTTCTATCTACAGCAGTTGATTTAAATGTTTAGGAGCGCGGAGAGGATTATGTCGACACTTGCTGATCAGTCCTGTTTACTGCGATCATCCTGGATGTTCCCAGATTAATGTCTCAGAATGAACACTGAGGGGGTTTCTAAACCTCACATCCCCTCAAAGGCTATCTGATTAGCCCCCTCACCATCTGATTGCCCCACAGCTGAAGAGAGGGGAGCTCATCTGCCCTGACCACCATCTGGCTGTAGAATACTTCCTGCCAACGCAGCCGGGCCTCAGCCAACACACTCTGGACTGCAGTCAGTGTTCATTCTCTGCTCAGACTAAAACTCTATGCACTCATGGTACAGTACGAGCCTTTGCATATGTCACCATGGAAGGTGATAGAAGTCAAAGTGTATTTTCATTAGCCTTCCTCTACCAGCAGGTGTCTCTGTTGTTTTGGCTCAAGAACAGAATGAGAAGTTGACTCTCAGCACTTAATACTCCTCCTGTCAGCTCTACTCACAGAAAAACTGTGCTGTCTGGAAGAATTTTAAATTGCCAAGGTCCTTTTACCTTTAGTGACCATTGTTTGAAAGAAAAAGTATTTTGGTGTAGTTTGGTGTGCATCAAGATCCATTAGATAACAACACTGAGACATTCAGACTTCACTACAAACTCTGAAACAAATTCTGAACCAATTTTCACGAAATTTGGTTTGTTATAAACCAAGAGAAATTAATCTTGACACTGCTTAATATGTATGAAGCTTAAGGCTGCCCTGTAATGACAAATACATACATATCATAAATATAATAATGATATTTATAATAATATCTTTGCATAGTAGACTGTAGTAAGTTTACTGAAAGAGAAGGATATCACAAGGTTTGTAGTACAGATTACAAATAAAAGGATTGTTAAACCAATGTTTAGAAAGGTACAGGTTTCATAGTAAGGATTAAATTATTAATCTGCAAGCACGTGAAAATAGATTTTTCAGTCTCTATTTAAAGGTCTCATTGTTGTTTGCCTCTCTGATCGACCGTGGTAAATTATTTCACAGAATGTGGAGCTCCAAATGAAAATGCCCTGCTGCCAGTGGAGTGCTTATTGTTGGGGGTATGTGGGGGAATGTAGGGACCCTGGCAATGTGGCAGAGATGGAAGAATGATCTCAATGTGTTTTTCAAATGAAAGTTATCAGTCAAAAGTGACAACCAGATTTTTGACTGATGTAATAGGAATAATGATTCTGCCTTCAATGAAAGTAAAGAAGCCTTGTTTCTGGGAAATTAGTCTTATTTTTGTCTAAAACAAAAATGATCTTGTTAAACGTGTTTTTCATTAGAAAAGTAATCTGGTTTTAAGGAAATCTATCTAACTTTGTCTTATGAAATATAACAGCTAATACTGAGCTCGACTGAACCAGTAACAAGGTACAACAATGTCTTACTGCTGCTCTGTACGTGTGTGTGTGTGTGTGTGTGTGTGTGTGTGTGTGTGTGTGTGTGTGTGTGTGTGTGTGTGTGTGTGTGTGTGTGTGTGTGTGTGTGTGGCTGAAGGCTTTGTGTGTTTATCACAGGCTGAAAAATGCTGCGTCACTGTGGGATACTGACTGAACAAATGGCTGGAGGTTGGGGTTGGGGTTGGGGGGCGCTGAGGACAGGTGGACCCTGGTCAGGTGACAGGACGGGAGTGAGGGGAGTGAAAGAGTCACAGGTAAACACATGAACATTTAACAGTTTATATCCATAGAGCTTTACTGGGCCAAACTCTGTAAGACGATACACATTACTATCATCATGCATTATAATATTAACATATTAGCTTTTACACCAGCCAACTGAAAGTCACCAACTGCACTTAAATGTGCACTGGTTTAAATGTTAGGAGTTGGAACTACAAAAACACTCAATCCATTCTGACTGTACAGTGGTGTTACAGAGTGGCGCTTCTTCCCTCACAAATCTTTGGATAACATCGGCTTCAACTGACAAAGTTAAATTTTGTCCTGTCATCAAATTACTCACTGAATTAACATTTGTTAAAGCCTGGGGGGTGTCATAGAAGAAAATTACCCTAAACTTGCTTTAATCATTTGTGTGCACGGAATAATTAATTTGTGCTCTTGATTCAATATTGTTTTTTGGCATGAGTCACCTGCTTTCAAGCTCTGTCTCTCGCCCACAAACAAAGCCACAAAGCCACAAAGCCACCGTTTAATGAAAATATACAGTAGTTGTATAGCTGTGTGGGAGAGACAGACAGTAAAAGCAGGGATCTAAAAAACATTATTCAATTGAGAGCATTTTGCTTCGGACCTTAATGAATCCATGTACCGGTACGGCCAAATAATATCTTCACATTTATACACTCTTTTTTAAACTCTCATTGCTGTGTACTGCCGGCCGGAGAGAGGTGCTGCAACAGCAGCAGGCTGAGGTGGGCAAACACAGTTCGGTAAAGAAACAAAGTAGATTAAATAAAGAAACAGTAAAAACAGTAGAGTAAAGAAAAGAAAGGACTGAATTTTGATTTGCTTCCTTTTAGCCAAAACTGATCCACTAAAACAGTGGTTCCCAACTCAGGGGGTTGTGAGGCCCTTCTTGATTTTAAGAGGTGTAAGAAAACTTTAAAAATATACACACCAGGCCTATATCTTAGCATTTTGTTCATTTCTGTAAGGAAATCGAAATGAAATTGTATTTTTCTTTAAGTTCATATGGTTGCTTAAAAAATACAAAAAACACAAAACAGACAAAGAATTGTATAAAAAGTTACTAAAAATATCAGTAAAACTCATATCTGATCAATGTTCACAGGAAATAATCTGCTGAAAATTCCTCAATATTGCTTGTTTTATACAACCTTCCTGCAGTTATTGTGTTCACTGTTTGGGTTCATTATACAGTTTATCAGTTTTTCTCTACTGTTACTGTTATACATTGTCTAAAATATCACATATCCATAAAATCCAAAACGACCACCCACCTAGAGCCGGAGGATCTGTCCTAGGTTTCTGCCTTTTAACAGGCAGTTTTTCTTTGCCCTTGTCGCCAAGGTCTTGCTCATGGTGGTACTGTTGGGTCTCTGTAATTAATGTTAAAGAGTTCGGTCTAGACCTGCTCTATTTGAAAAGTGTCCTGAGATAACTTCTGTTATGAATTGGCGCTATACAAATAAAATTGAATTGAATTGAATTGAATTAAAATTAGTCACTGAGTCAGGGGTCGTCTGTTTACTCAATGACAGAAAGGAGTCCCTGAAAGAAAAAAGGTTGGGAACCACGGCAGTAAAATATGCCTGGATCGGTTGGGACACAATACACTATTAAATAAATGGCACTTACTATACGCACTGTCTCACAACATTGTCCCTACTTTAATATAAATAGTACCAAATGGCAGTACTGTTTTCAAAGAATCATTAAATAATTACAAATGAATTCAGTCATAATTAGGTATGATGGGAAATCAGACAATAATGGGAAAATAGGGTTTAAAAAACGAAGAAAACATGAGAACACTGGAGGTGCAGTATGATGTAAAACTGTGCTTACATCATTCATTGTCTATTTATTTGGTACCAGTTCAGAACCAAAATGCACCTGTCTGACTGTGCGTGAAACAGGTGCTTTTTAAAAATACATGTGCAATCTGCTGACTTCAGACCAGTGCGTGCACACACTACATGAGCGTGTACAGTGTGCTTTCACCTTGATGCGGCTGACGGCCTCCTGCGCCTGCATCATGCGGATGTTCTTGGACGGCGTCTTATCCGACAGCAGCTGGGTGGAGCCCAGGTAGTTGGCAGCGAAGATGATCCCATCGATCAGGTCCTCTGGGTCACATGGGCCTGGGACTGGAGGGAGGGAGGGAGCGGTTCAGTCTCACCATATAACACAATGTTTCCCCACACACTTAGAGATTAATATAGTAAGCTACGCTAATCAATATTTTTTATATTAATAATGGATCATAGTCACCAGTTGGGAGAATGAGCTGAATTTATATCAGTAGGAATAAGGAAGAAATGTAACTGAAAAGGTGCATTATTTTAGAGAGAGTACTGTCTTGGAAAACCCAACGTTAAACGTCGAAATGTCAAAAAGGTGTGGGAGGGCACTGAAGGTCACACCCTTATATTCTTTTCCTGCCCCATTTGATGTGATCTGATGTGCTGTGCACCTGTCTGTCTGTCTCTCTCTGTCTCTCTCTCTCACCCCAACTGGTCGAGACAGACGACCACCCACCTAGAGCTGAAGGATCTGTCCTAGGTTTCTGCCTTTTAACAGGCAGTTTTTCCTTGCCCTTGTCGCCAAGGTCTTGCTCATGGTGGTACTGTTGGGTCTCTGTAAAGGAGCTTTTGCTCTTATTGCTAATCAACTATGAAACTGCCTCCAGCAGTCTATACTAGAAATGTCGATACATGACAAATGTTGACACGATACAACATTTGTCTGAGAAATAATCTTTTTCAGTTTTTCAATCTCATGTTCAATTGAAATGTTGAATTGTATCGCATCACGAGTTGAGTTCATTGTTACATCCCTAGTCTCACAAAAAAATCTTTTTCTTGATGTTATAACTTCACATTTTGGGGTTTGAACACTTTATGTACTTCCTAACATGTCTATAAATCGACTGTGGATCATTATCTTACTGATATTCATTTCATAATCTTCCTCGACATTTGATTCTTCTGCATCCATTCTTATTTTGATTTACCCAACCTTTATTCCCTTCTTGACCATTCCCTTGTTTGAAGTTTCCATTAAGAATTTTCTGATCTCTTTTAAATTAATTTAAGCTTTCCATATTTTCACCAGGATGAATGTTTCAGCAGAGCTCCGATTGTTCAGCGGAATGTCTTTGCCTCACTTCTGACATCTTTCTTTTTTTTCCACCACTAATTCACTCAAGTTCACAGTTGACAACATATATTCAAGTTTGTCTGTGGTGTGTCACAGTTACTGGCAGACTGGCAGCAATTGTGGTTTCAATAGTTCTTGTCACGACAAAAAGAAAAGGTACCTTAATATACTCCAAGAGCTGTGTGGCCCACCACTGCTGCAGCCGGCCTGATCAGCTGGCTATGCTACAATAACTGACAGCAACATTGACCTTTCCCTTTCACCTCAAGCAGCATCTCCCTCCGTACCTCCCCTTCAACTTTTCCCAGTCTCGACAGTTTTTAACCTCTGCTGCAGAGGATGAAGCACTCACCTTCTACATATGTGGGGAAGGACGCAAGGCTTTTCCTGGACTATTAATAAAAAAGAGAGGAGTGTGATTATTTTCAAACAGTACTTCAACTTGATGTGCAAAAGTGAGAATGAGACACAGTGAATTCTAATGAATGGTAAAATGTTGAAAACACCTCTTTGCTAGAGGGAGAAGATTCGAAGCTGTCATCCTGCAGCAGATGTCTGCTGGATGACTCTGCTCCTGGAGGAGACGGTGAGCCTGAACCAGGGGACTGCAGGGAGGGAATGGAGAGTGGGGGAAAAGCAGAATACAATCTGTGAACTGAAATCCTTAATCAGAACCAAGCACCACTTTAACACAAATGCACAATGTGTTACCAAATGCATAGCAAATGAATGTAGGGAGACAGGGGTTGGTCGGCACACTGTTTTCCCTCATCTTTCATATTTCTCTGGCATTAATGCAAACTAGAACCAGAAAACATGAACACTTAATACAATTTCTGCTCATTTGGAACATTTTTAAGCAATTCATCAGTAGAAATGTCAAATTAGTTTTGCCACTGACCATCAAATAATAATTACAATACGTTGTTTTTAATCTTTCAAAAATAGTTTTTAACTTCTCAAAATACCCCAACAAAAATATATATGAACAGTTAAAGATAAAAAATATTGTTTAACCATAGTGCCAACCAACTCCGCTCACATTTGACCCAACTTCGTGATGACATTTTGTTAGCCAGCTACCATCATTCATCGCAGTTAGATGGCTGATTGCGGTTAACACAAGGTTAAGAGATTTTCATGATTAGTTCTACGACATAAAATACTTTTTAAATGCTTTTACGTATCTTAAAAAAGGTGGTTGCTAACAAGTGGCTAAATGAAACTACAGTCAGTGACATTAAACATCAGCGCGCCGAACACGGAGCAGAGACATTAGTACTACATGCCTGAAATGGCACTTCTAATTTTCATCCACATGAGTACCCTTACTTCTTATTGAGTACCGTCACATCTGGTCAGCATGGCTGTACCCCCCACTGAGGTCACCGGTATGTTTTCCAAGGGATATACAGTAAAAGTCATGAAATAATTGTCTAAAAATAATTACTTTGATGCCCCAAAACTCCTTGGAAGTTTTTGGACCTCTGTATTTGTAAAACCCTGTGTACAGCAATGCTGGTGAAGTACATCTAAAAGCCTGCGTAACTGCTCCTGCAAGAGCTACAGACGACAAACAAGTCATGCAGGTATAGCTAGCCTATAAACTAATGGCATTAGCATGTGCCACTGACCAAACAGCAGTAAGTTAAAATAAGGAGGAGCTGCAGGTCTGCAATGGAAGCCTCATTGGGAAGCTGTGGAAGAAACTGATCAGGTTTATACACTGTGGGTCTAACAGATAAATATTAATCCAATTAAGGACACTTCAAACAGCATGGCATTTTGGAATGCTTAAAGGAGTTTTTGGTGAGCACCCGAGAATGCCTTCACACTTGTCAAAACGATCTGAACTCAGCACATTTCATTTTTCACCAAACTGTGTGGAAGTGTGAAAGACACCTTAGAGTCTATTTAAAGCCAAAAGAGGGCAGAAAGACAGGACCGCTCAGATCAACGCCGGCGCCCCATGCAGCCAACATCAACAGCCTTAGTTGCACAACACAATTCATCTCGTCTTGCTCAGTGTGTCAGACAGCAAAAACACAAACACACAAGCTGTGACGAGGTGAGCTGAAAGGGTACACTGACACATAGACAGGACAAATCACAGCTTAGAGGCAAAATATCACAACAATATCACCTCCGTGTGGGACAGAGGACAGTACATGTCATAACACAGAAACACTGACCAGCAGGAAACAGCTTGTAGGCTACAGCTCAGATAAACTGTAGGTTTTATGTTTGTTGTAGTTGGCTGGGACTTTGTTTTAGTCCATCTTCTGTATTTGATTCGATCTAGTGGTACCTCCATGCAGTTTTAGGTCTATTCATTTTTTGTTTGATTTTTGCTCGAGGTCTCTTTATTGGTATATAGAGTGGTACAAAATGAAACAAATTGCAGACACAGAGCCCCATTCTGGTTAAAGTATTACTGTACCATTGGTAGTCAAACATAATTAATTCATAAGGAGTTACATGTACATATAAATACAGTCAATATGACAAAAATTGTAAATAAGACACAGAAAGTAAAATAAAAAGTACAATAAATGATATTTAAAAAGCTCTAATAATAAATAATAAGTAAATAATAATAGAGTAATAAAAAAATACAAAAAACAAGTAGGCAATATGAATATACATATGTGATATAGACTCTATAGGATATATACAGTACTATACTGCAATCTCAACAAATGTTTTCATATATGTGTCTGAGGTTTCTGCCTCCACTGCAATACAATGGAAGTGAATAATAGTATTAATCCAATTTGTGGTCTGCAGAACACTGAAAAAGGACATATTAACATTCAACATGTCTTTCCAGGCACAATGTGCTCATGCAGCAGATATTTCCAAACCTGGATTCTCAAAACTGATGTTCCTGGATACCACCAGAGGGAATTAAGAAAATCTGAAAGACTAGCCTCACGTGTTTGTGGTGCAGAGACCACTCACTCCACTGGCAAAACTATAATCCACCAACTCCCTTGCTTCACCCTCCCCTTCCTAGTGCACAGGATAAAGTACAGTGGAGGAAAAATGCAAACATCCCTATCTAGAGCCAGTGTTTGGTTTGTCACTTCTGGGCTACTATAGAAACATGGCAGACTCCACGAAAGGCGACCCATGGCACTTGTAGATGAAAACAGCTCATTCTAACGTGACAAAAACAAAACAACTGCTATATTTAGGTCATACCTATGAATATTATATTCCATTTCTGCCATTAGATCCTCCTGAATGTTACACACAGGACCTTTAATCAAGCCATTGTAACTGGTGCAAAAGATAGGAAACACTAATGTGATTGGCCAGGAGAATAATTCTGGCCCTGGTTTCTAATACTTATGTTCTGCCCATTATTTCACCATAATAACGCTATGTTGACATAACAAATGGCGCTCATATATAATTAGTTAAGTTTTTAGAACCATGTACTGTAAGTTGGTTTCTAATTACATGGAAAACAGAGACCGGTCCCTGAAAGAACTGATCCAGTTACACCCAAATAAACAATCATTCATTATTCATTCATTGTTTTTTTAATTGTATATTTGTCTGAGGATAATTATCTTTTTATGTTCAGTTTAGCAGCCGTCAACCTCACTCGGGGTGAGTGGATCACTACCCAAAATGTATTGATACAGCTAATACTAAGTCTTGTCTTGAGTATAAATACTAGTGCCAATACTGTAGGAGGGATACTATGCATTACTCTCTGCTTCTCTGGGGCTGTTGTGTGCAGTCATGCAGTGATCTTTACATTAGAAGCCATCAGAATCTATTTTACAATTTCACAATCACATGTAAAAGAAGTGCCCAATGTTAGATGGTAATTCAGATATATTGTGGCTTAATAAAGCATTCACATTTCTCTCCCCCGCAGTCTCTCTCTCCCCCTGACAGTATATTTATACAGTTTTGAGGTAATTGTACTTTACTTGAGTATTAACATTTTATTACTTTCTACTCTTTTATATTTCAGAGGGAAAAATAGTACTTTACCACATTTATTGAACATCTTAAGTTACTAGTTCAGTTAGATTGTAAAAGACATTATAAAAACTTTTACTTTTTTTACTTTGCTGATTCGTACTTTTTCTGAGGAAAAATTCAGAACTTCTTATTTTAACAGAGTATTTTTTACAGTGTGGTATTATTTTACTGAAGTAATGGATCTGAATACGTCAATGTCACAGGATGATGTCACAGGATGATGTCACAGGCTTCTGTACTCAATGGTTCATCCAAAATGTCAGTCAGCAGACCTACAGATAATGCTATGGTCATGACCATTCTTTAAGTCAAGATGTTGAGATGATTCAATCATAAATGGTTACGTCTAAAAAAAAAATTTAAAAAATCAGAAATATGTGGATAAAACATTATTAGCTTACACCACCACTGCCTGTCTGCTTCTGTATGAATCCCCAAAAGGGCTTTGAAAGTAGAAATCTAGTCTTATGAACACATTATTTTGCGCATTTTCAGAACTCTCCACACATTGTAAAACTCCTGAGACAAATGATTCCAGCCCTGCTACAAACATAAAACCATCACTTGAGCACGCCAATGGAAAAACCACCATAAACTCTTCAAACTGTCCACACCTCGTCTCCATCATGTTGGTCAGTCTGCTCCTTCTGCTTGGCTTGCTCCTCCTCAAGCTTTTCTACTTGATACATCCAAAAGTTCTCCATGGCTTTCAGTAAACAGTCAAACCCAGCTGAACCTCGACAAGTGTGGATGAACTAATGTTGAGAATGGCAGTGCGTCGTGGTTAAATACAACACCAGTGTCAGCTGCTCAGGTGACACTCGGGATTATGTATCAGGATTCATCATGGAATCAACAGGCTGGGTCTGGATTTGCTCTGCTGATGCTGTGACATCATGTCATTCTTTACCCATCATGTTCATTTACACTGTATGTTGTGTACAAATTCATCTACATATCAAGTTTAAAGCAGAGGTGTTATTAAAACCACCCAGGCTGCAACTTTGTTCTGATCACAATGATGTAAACAGGAAAACAGCCCAGTTCATTCTGTCATTGGATCCTCACTGAATTATTTAACTCGTCTTGCCCTTTACCTCTCTCTCTCTCTCTCTCTCTCTCTCACCCTCACTCAATAAATCATTGGGAGGAGGGAGGGGGAGTGACAACAGGAGGGGGAGAAGGAGAGGAATAGCACATGACTGGGATTTCTGAGAACAATGTTTGCATTAGTCACCATGACCGATACAGCTGTATAAGAAAGCCAGGCAGGTCCACATAGTGCTATACAGTCTGTGGTAAGGCTTCTGAGGGGACCACTTGTATCCTGAGGTTCTCTTTACTTGAGTATTTGCCTTTAATAGATGTTCAACAGACTGGAAAGATTTATTCTGACTCTGTCATAAAAGATACACCAACCATCACCTCAAGAGCTCACTAATGAACATGTGGAATCTGGCTTGTTTAATCTGAACAGAAATGTAAAAACAACAGTTATTGGTGTTAGGAGGCGATGTGCTCTTTATGATAAGCTAGGCTAACCACGTTAGCCTCAACCTAAGACTTGGTTTAAGGGTTGGGTTATATTTAGGTTAGGCACTTAGTTTTGATGGTTACGGTTAGGGTGAGGAATAGGGCAGGGGTCAGCAACTCTAGGGTTAAGGTTATCAAATGTACAATGCCGGGAGCTGCGGAACCATCAACATATAACATGACCTAATAGTGAAGCCAAAACATTCCGCCCTCTGGTGGCTGAAAATCAAATCAAATCAAATACACACTTATCACACTGCTGTATGTTCAAGAGTTCATTTTTCTGATCAGCTTGGTTTTAATCACAATTCTTCATTGACAGCTGAGCCCTACTCAAGACGAGTCGGCCAGGTGTATGGCGGGACTTCGATACCATGGCACCAACTCTGATCACTACTGCACAGACTCACGCTCGGAATGGAAAAAGGTGGCAGTGGGATATTTTAGCTATTTTAGCTGTCTACACAAGGGATGTTACACTCAACTCCCAATTCATTACAATTTAAACATTTATACAATTGCTGAATGTAATAATTTAGGTCTACAAGGATACATGAAAATGTTAAAAAATAACATTTCCATATAAGTGTTTAACAAAGCCACACTGGAGCGGGACTAAAGATCTGCATGCAGCTCTGGAGCCACAGGTTACCAGCCCCCACGAATATTGTAACACACAAATGTGTCTGTCTGTCTGTCTGTGTGTCTGTCTGTGTGTCTGTCTCTGTGTGTGTGAAAACCAACCCCTGTTGTAGTGTGTAAGGTGTGTGTGTGTGTGTGTGTGTACACACATAGGTGCTTTCTGTTGTGCATCATCTATGAAGTGCTGTATACCCCCCAGAAAGCTAATTCACTTCATTCATTAACTTCAAAATATTGTTTTATTTATTAAAACGCCAGCTTTAAAATGCAGAGTGGATGAGTAAAACAAAGCTTTGCTGATGAAGTGTTGATGCACAGACTGCTGTTGTGGCCTTCTCATCAGAGATCATATTGCATAGTCAGAGCCAATTACACCATACAGGTGCTGTCATTGATATGGTGGCTTTAAGAGCTTGGTGTAACTGGTCCATATGTGCCCTTTCCAAATGTTCTGCATTGTAAAAAGGATTTTAATCAGTTATACCCAAAAGTAATCAGAGCATGAATGGATGTACATTGGGTACGGAAAGTATTCAGACCCCTTTAAATTTTTCACTCTTTGTTTCATTGCAGCCATTTGCTAAAATCAAAAATGTTCATTTTATTTCTCATTAATGTACACTCAGCACCCCATCTTGACAGAAAAATAAACCAGAAATGTAGAAATTTTTGCAAATTTATCAAAAAAGAAAAACTGAAATATCACATGGTCATAAGTATTCAGACCCTTTGCTCAGTATTGAGTAGAAGCACCCTTTTGAGCTACTACAGCCATGAGTCTTCTTGGGAATGATGAAACAAGTTTTTCACACCTGGATTTGGGGATCCTCTGCCAGTCTTCCTTGCAGATCCTCTCCAGTTCTGTCAGGTTGGATGGTGAACGTTGGTGGACAGCCATTTTCAGGTCTCTCCAGAGATGCTCAATTGGGTTTAGGTCAGGGCTCTGGCTGGGCCAGTCAAGAATGGTCACAGAGGTTCTGAAGCCACTCCTTTGTTATTTTAGCTGTGTGCTTAGGGTCATTGTCTTGTTGGAAGGTGAACCTTTGGCCCAGTCTGAGGTCCTGAGCACTCTGGAAGAGGTTTTCTTCCAGGATATCGCTGTACTCAGCCGCATTCATCTTTCCTTCAATTGCAACCAGTCGTCCTGTCCCTGCAGCTGAAAAACACCCCCATAGCCTGATGCTGCCACCACCATGTTTCACTGTTGGGATTGTATTGGGCAGGTGATGAGCAGTGCCTGGTTTTCTCCACACATACCGCTTAGAATTAACGCCAAAAAGTTCAATCTTGGTCTCATCAGATCAGAGAATCTTATTTCTCATAGTCTGGGAGTCCTTCATGTGTTTTTTGGCAAACTCTATGCGGGCTTTCATATGTCTTGCACTGAGGAGAGGCTTCCGTCGGGCCACTCTGCCATAAAGCCCTGACTGGTGGAGGGCTGCAGTGATAGCTGACTTTGTGGAACTTTCTCCCATCTCCCTACTGCATCTCTGGAGCTCAGCCACACTGATCTTTGGGTTCTTCTACCTCTCTCACCAAGGCTCTTCTCCCACGATTGCTCAGTTTGGCTGGACGGCCAGGTCTAGGAAGAGTTCTGGTCGTCCCAAACTTCTTCCATTTAAGGATTATTGAGGCCACTGTGCTCTTAGGAACCTTGAGTGCTGCAGAAATTCTTTTGTAACCTTGGCCAGATCTGTGCCTTGCCACAATTCTGTCTCTGAGCTCCTTGGGCAGTTCCTTCGACCTCATGATTCTCATTTGCTCTGACATGCACTGTGAACTGTAAGGTCTTATATAGACAGGTGTGTGCCTTTCCTAATCAAGTCCAATCAGTTTAATTAAACACAGCTGGACTCCAATGAAGGAGCAGAACCATCTCAAGGAGGATCAGAAGAAATGGACAGCATGTGAGTTAAATATGAGTGTCACAGCAAAGGGTCTGAATACTTATGACCATGTGATATTTCAGTTTTTCTTTTTTAATACATTTCTGTTTTTTTCTGTCAAGATGGGGTGCTGAGTGTACATTAATGAGAAATAATATGAACTTTTTTGATTTCAGCAAATGGCTGCAATAAAACAAAGAGTGAAAAATTTAAAGGGGTCTGAATACTTTCCGTACCCACTGTATATGGTAAATGGACCTGTACTTGTATAGCGCCTTTCTAGTCTTCCGACTTTTACACTACGTGCCACATTCACCATTTCACACACATTCACTCAGTGATGGCAAAGTCCATCGAACAGAAACTAACATTCATATACATTTACACACCGATGCACGGCATTCGGAGCAATTTGGGGTTAAGTATCTTGCTCAAGGATACTTCGACATGTGGCACCAGTAGCCGGGGATGGAACCCACAACCTTCCAATTAAGGAACGTCCTGCTCTGCCTCTGAGCCACAGCCGCCATTATATATATATATATATGCATACACCATGCTGCATTCAAAGTCAACAGTCCTAAACTTGTAACAACTGGCTGCTTTGGTTAGTGGTTTGGGGTCAACAAAGCTGCAGTATACAGTAAAATCCAAGGTTGATGAGGAATATGTAGTGTATTTTTAATATATTTCAGCTCCTATAGTCTATAGTTGGTGAAGAAGATTTCATACTAATCAACATTGCAAAGGAAGGCAAACAAGAAAGGAACACAATGCAAAAGTAAGGCCACACAAAAGAGGAAACATTAAACTCTCAAGAGAAACAGGGTCCAACAGATGGACTTACTAAGGGACAAAGGGAACAAACAAAGGAAAGGAACTGAGGAGAGTTCTTGAGGTTTCCTACTAATGGCACTATATTGCTACTGCACACCCTGCAGGTTGATATCAAGGAATACAAGTCTGTTTTCGTCATCACAAATTCAATCAGGAATTGGCAGACATGTTTTTAATGTGGATGATCAGGATGCAAGTGCAGTTTATTCTAAACCTGAAGTTGTCACTGCAAACTGTTTGGAAAGGACAGGCAATTAAAAAAAAATACTTGGCATGATTGAACGATGCATATGTCTACCACCGTCTATCAAAGACCAACTTCCACCTATCAGATCAACAATCCATGTAACATAGTTATTAGTTCACCTGCTGTGGCGATATGTGGGCAGTGCAGGATGTACTGCAGAGGTAAATCAGCTGCTCAAATTCGCGTAGAACCCCACATAAAGCGGAGATACAAATCTGCTTTGCCACCAGAAGCAAATGTTTTATTTGCCTTTTTGTTTGCACAGAACCGAAGTGAACGGGAGATTCACGGTTGTTTTTTTTCTCATATGTGTGACCGTGCCCATAGATAGTGATAAACAGAAGCTTCATCCAATCATCTGCAGAATATTATTTGAAAGTGTCTGCCCTTTTCCAAACAGTTTCCAACGATGACTTCCCAGATGGTTCTGGGTAACAAACTATCTGGCACTGTCAGGTTGCATAAAGGAAGAAAACACACATTTCAAAACTATCCCCATACCACTATAGGGATGTTCTTCAGCCACAGTACTGCTGTGTAGAGCCCACCACACAACACTCATTAAAATGAAATCGACTTAAGAGCTGCTTTAGATTAGTCGATCATTGAAAAATGCAGCTGAAGCACCTCCTGCATGGTCAAACATTATCTGAGCTGTAGCCTACAAGCTGTTTCCAGCTGGTCAATGTTTCTGTGTTATGACATGTGCTGTCCTCTGTCCCACACGGAGGTGATATTGTTGTGGTATTTTGCCTCTAAGCTGCAATTTGTCCTGTCTGTGTGTCAGTGTACCCTTTCAGCTCACCTCGTCACAGCTTGTGTGTTTGTGTTTTGCTGTCTGACACAGACAAGACGAGATGAATTGTGTTGTGCAACTAATGGTGTTGATGTTGGCTGTGTGGGGCGGCTACAATGATATGCAGTAAGTGTTGTGGCCTTTTGTTCTGGCCCCTTGGGTTTTTCTGCCCTCTGTTGGCTTTAAAAAGCAAACCAACACATGCATATGCAAACAACAGCTGGCTAACAGAACAGCCATGTTATCCAATAAAACTTGATCAATTGTAGCCAGAGCCGCTGTACTTACATCGCCCCCTAGTGGTGGTTGTAGGTCACACTCTGCAGTGGGGCTCAGGTCCTGCCTCATTACCCAAATGGGCTCCTTAGGCTCATCGGGTGTGTAAGGAGATCTCACTGTTCTGTTCTTCACCTCCTCTATGGCCTCTTTAATGTCCTTTATGGCCAGGGATATGGCATCCCTCTTCTCCTGACTGTTCCTCACTGCTACAGGCTCCTCTGAAGGACTCGTAGCCTGTTTTCTGGCTGGCTTCCCTCGGTTGGCAGCTTTGTGGTTTTGGTCGTTTGGGAAATCAGGTTTTTCTTCTCCTTGCAGTAGCTCATTTTCTTCATCTATGGTGTCTTCCGCAGCACAGTATAGACTCTGAGAACTTAGGCTTTCTTTGACCTCAGCCACAATGCTGTCGATGTCCTCCTCCTGGTCGCAGCTGTCGGCGCGTGGGTACGGGGCAAACTCTGCTTCCTTCTCTGGGCTGTCCGACTCGCCATCAGAGCGTTCGTCGTAGTGGCGCAGGCGGGAGCCCACTGCCTCCTGCTGATGGTAGTCTCCACCTCCCACCCGGCCCTCCAACAGCTGAAAGCCGGCCCTCCTCTGTTGGAGAGACTCTGTGTCCTCAGCTCCGTCGGCAGCAGATGGAACCGTCGTCGGAGCATCGCAGATTTCTTCGTAAACATGCTCAGAGAGTGAGTAAATGTCATATGGCTCAGAGTAGGCTTCATCCACAAGCCCAGCATCTAAACTCTCCAAGCTATCACCGGCTGAGACGTTGGCCCTTCCTCCGGAGTGACTGAGGGGCTGGGTGTAGACGTAGTTGGAGTAGCCAGCGTTCAGCATCTCCTCTGCTTCATCCTGTCTCTGGGGGTTTTGAATATCGGGCAGGGGGTCACGTGGTAGAGGCGGGGGCTGAGGGGGATAGTTAGGATGTGGATGGAGATGTTGCTGTTCAGCCTCAGCGCTCTCAGTATACCCCTCCGCCTCCGGCCGTAGCTGGACCCCATAGTTCCCCACCTCGTCCTCTGCCTCCGGCTGCCCCTCAGGCTCCAGAGACATCATCACCAGGCCATCGTCCCCCTCAGCCCGGTCAGTATGGGTGTGGAAGCCGCTCTCAGTGCTCGCTGAGCGGGCCAGCACTGAATCGTCCCTTTCTCGTTCATCTTCCTGGGTCATCTCTGCGTGGTGCTGCTTCTCCTGTTGTTGTGCTAAATGTTGTGCTCTCTCCGCCTCTCGCTGTTGCCTCTGTCTGTGCCTCTGCTGCTGGGCTCTGATCCGGGCCTCGCTGTCCCCCTGTCTACGATAACGTGTCACTGCAGGTCTGGGAATGGGCTGGGGCAGCTGGGGCTGTGGGGACTGAGCTCCATGTTGCAGCTCCATGTCTTGTTCCTCCTGAGGCCTGCGTTGCTGTGGTGCCCTGGATCTACCGCCAGCGCTTCCTCCAGCTGGGCCTTCACAGCGTCTGTAGCGCTTTTCCTGGTTGCTGTGGTTGCGGGGCCTGCTGTTGTGGTTGTTGTGGCGATGGCGAGGAGGAGCATCGGTCTCCTCCATCACTTCCTGGCCGAGCTCTGTCTCCTGGGGGTTCATGGCTATCCGGTTCTGATTGGTTTAACGGTGTAAAAGAAAGGTTTTAGGAGTTCGTCATCAGCAGGTACATGGATGAGGTCAGGGAAAAGCTGCTGGGAAGAGAATGAAAGTGGTCGACAGAAAAGGAAAAAATGTTAGTAAGCAGAAATAGGAAAAAATAATAAAGAATTTGGTACGGCGATTGGCGAGTCCTTGCAAAATCGGTGGTACTGGAACTTTGGTGACATAGTGACTACTCAAAGCTAATTGGCGAAATACTGTAGGTAGCATGCTAACCACTCACATTCCAGCCATTCAGGAACATGCTAGTATTACTCAGCCACAATAGCAACGATAACAATACAAAACAACATAGTTGTACTGTTAGGGATTAGTCATTTCAATTTATTTTAATACACATATATGTGAAAGCCTGCATTCTATAAAGCTAATACACACAAAGATAAAAAACACAGACACATAGTCTCATCTCTGCTTGTGAGCTACACTAGCTGCAAACACCTGGCCGGGGGAGGAAGAATGGGTTATCTCCAAGGTCGGAAGCATCCAGTTCTGACCGTTGCTCTAGTTTCATAAATAATATTAGTTGAAAGGAGGGAGCAGGGTGGAATAATTAATTTTCTTTTAGGGCGCTGTCTCCTCGGAATTGGTTGGGTCGTGTGCCAAGAGGCTGGGACCAGCCAGCGCACCAACAAGGATGCACCAAGTCTAAACCACGGTTGCACCCCATCATATAGTCCACCAATCACATTCCTTAATGTAAAACAAACATAACCTCTTGTAACCTTTGTTCATCACTCTTTTTGGGCCGAGGAAAGACAGTAACAGCACTCCGCTGACTGTGGCTTCTCAATCCAACAAGATCCTTGGCCAAGTATTATTTTAATTATACAATTCTAAATAAACTTCTTAACTGAGAGAAGTTGTTTGTCTTATGTCCTAAAGATCATTTTGATACACGACAGTGCCATTGACTGTCTCTTACTTGTATGCTGACCCATGCCTCTTTTGTGCGGTAGTTTCTACTGGATTAAATAAGTGGAAGGTGCAACACAGCTAATGGGTTATGGTAGCTTACTCTGATCTGGACTGTCTGGCTCTCCATTCCCCTAAAAGGACCAGTGTGTAGGATTTAGTGGCATCGAGCAGTGCAAGGGAGGACTAAACAAGTTAGTTGCAATCTGCAAACTCACTTGATTAACCCTCCCTTTCCAACTGCGGGGGAGAAACTACAGCGGTTGTGAAGGGCGTCTGTAGATAAAACCGGCTCATTCTAAGGTAATGAAAAACTTTTTGATTCTTATTTTCAGATGATTATACACTATGAATATTATATTCAATTTCTGCCAGTAGATCCTTCTAAATGTTACACACTGGACCTAAGGGGTGAGTGTACTCCATTAAAACTGCGTGTCGGATGGTCATAAAGCTTTGGCAAGTCCCTCAGCCCAGATATATGGTGAGCACTTTAAGATGATAGATAAACTTCAGAGCTGACAGGGTCTTAAATATTCATCCCAGATGAAGTTATTTGATCTTTTCTCAACTTTTATAACCTTTATCTAATCAGGTACCATTGAGATTAAGATCTCATTTTCAAGGGAGACCTGAGTACTTAAAAATAATAAAAGATACTGAGCCCATGATATTAAATGCTGTATTTATCCATGGTCATTTAAAGGACCAGTGTATTGGATTTAGTTGCATCTAGCATTGAAATTGCAGATGGTCCCTTCTTGGTTTTAAGGGGTTTAAGAAAAATAAATATATACACAGTTGGCCTACATCTCAGCATTTCATTCAGTTTTGTGAAGAAAACTAAATGAATTTGTTATTGTATTATTTAGCTGATACAGCCTTGCCCTGCATTAGAAAAGTACACAGTTAAAACAAGCAAAGAGCTGACAGAACAATGAGAAGAAAACACTAAATTTGTTAAAAGTATCAGGAAAGCTCATCTTTGACATATAATACAATATTCACAGGAAATAATCTGCTCAAAATGTATCCAAATCTCTCATTGTATCACTGTGTTCACTGTTTGGGTTCATTGTACAGTTTAACAGTTGTTGTACTGTTATTGTTATGCATTGAATATAATATGAAATATCCATAATATATGTCACTTAGTCCTGGGTCGTCAGTTTACTCGATAGAAAAGGGCTCCCTGAAGGTAAAAGGTAGGGAACCACTGTTAGATGGCTGAGATGACAAGAGGGCTTTACTGGTTATATGAATAGTTAATTAAACCATTCATAGTTATGTGGAGGTCAGTCTTCATGTCTTTCATTTAATTATTCCTTGGAGCTAGCCAGTGGAGCTTTCGACCACTACTAGCACTGTGGAGCAGTGTTTTTATCAACCTGTCCCTGTTTTGTTCAGATCAACAAGGAACCAATGTTCTAAGGCAACGAAGTACAATGATTCTTATTTTCAGGTGATTATACTAATGAAAATGTGAATATTATATTCCATTTCTGACAATAGATCCTCCTAAATGTTACACACTGGACCTTTAAGTCTCACACTGCTACATTTACACTGGGAGCTGCAGTGTGTAACCTTTGCCAGAGGAACTGGGTGTTAACTGCCTTGCTAAAGAGCAGTAACTATAATGTAGAATTCATTTACATGCAAATTGAATTAACTGCACTTATTAATTATGTTTGTATTATGTATTAATATATGTGCTTGCTCATGGTGGTACTGTTGGGTCTCTGTAAATAATGTTATAAGGAGATCGGTCTAGACCTGCTCTATTTGAAAAGTGTCCTGAGATAACTTCTGTTATGAATTGGCGTTATACAAATAAAATTGAATTGAAAATTGAATTGAAAATATACAATATACTATATATACATATATATCTGGGGGCAACAAGATGACAGAGGTAGTGACATTTTTGTAGTCTGAGGTGAGCATTTTTGAATAATGAATTCATCCTTCTCTAGTGCTGCAGTTAGTTCAATATGGATTAAAATGAAGGTAATAATCTGCAAAAATACAAATCTATCAAACTGCAACACAATTTGACTACAGCCTTGTCATTACAGTCACATCTGTCCTAACATAAGCTCTGCACATGCCTCCCTTTCTATCGGTCTACTGTCTGCTCACCACTCAACACTGGGCCAATGACGCGTTGTTAATTCATTCATTCATTTCACAGAAGAAGAAGGTCCATAAAGTTCCAGCAGAGGTCACTAGCGCTGTGCGCCCCCCCCCCCCGGGACGCACGCACACACACACACACACACACACACACACACACACACACACACACACCCACACACACACACACACACACACACACACACACACTAAACCCTTAATTCATTCATGCATTTCCCTAACCCTTGAAGAACCAGTTAGAATGTAAAGAAAAAGGGACACAAGGTAGAGTTAAATAATTCTTACTTTATTCCATAAACATAAAGTAGCATTTATGAAAGAATGAGTGCAGGACGGGGAGGAAGTGACCTCATTAAAGATGGCTGCCCCGACTGCGCAAAACTGTTAAATACTATTGTGGTAGATACAAATTTCCTTGTGCTGTCACCTTAGAGCCCAGCAGTGTGTCCACAATGTCTCTGGGTCAACGGCTTCCTTCCCAGCATTCCCTTGAGGGCCTCCCCACCCCCCTGGCCCCGGGCCCCGGGCCCGTCCAGACCGCCGCCCCTCCTGCTGACTACCACTCGCGGACCCCTGGAGGAGACCCGTGTTTGGCCAAACTGGATCCTTGTCTTCCGCACGCTGCAACGTTCAATAATCGAATTTTTCTCAAACACCAAAGTCTGCTCATTTTGACCCCACTGAATTACACTGTTTATCATTCTCCCAGTGGACAGAAGGAAAGGAAAAATGTTTTCACAGATTGTGCCCCCACAGGAGCCAATGAGGACATATTCATGCAGAGCCATTACAAAGAGAGCATGCCTATTGGGGCTGTGGCTGGGAAACCATCATAGCACGCAGTTAGCATCTATAAGTTAAATGGGGGAAAAGGCAGCTTATATTAAGGCCAAATCTAACCTCTCATACGTTGGTCATACTTTGGCTAGAATAGACAACACAGAAAAGAGTGATAAATTGAACCAGCTTTCAAGATGGAACCAGGTGAAACAGTCTAAAGACCCAGCAGTGCCCTGTAGAGGCTGCAATGCTCATTACACACCACTAAATGAATGGGATTAATGGAATGCCACTCAGTTGGCATTTACAAGCAACTTTACGCAGAGTTTGCCATGTTTCTACAGTAGCACAGAACAGACAAACAAAACACTGGTTCTAGATAGGGCGTTTTTGCATTTTTTGCGAGTTTCGCAGCCACCGTAGTTTCTCCTACACGTATGGAAGGCTGAGCTGTATTCATATGGTTGCAACCTGAAACTTCATTGCTAAATGCCACTGAATCCTACACACTGGTCCTGTTGGTGCCAGGATCACTAGCTAGAAGAGGTGGTAGTTTGAATACAATGACCATATTGGCCCTTTTAAGATATTTCAACTGGAACAACAGACTGGGTGAGCTGTAATCCTTAAAATATAATCCTCATGAATGAAATTAAGTCATTTTGGGGCAGAAAAAACCTTTCAGCAGTAAGAAAGGCACGGTAATCATTTTTTGTGTGAAAGTGAAAAACTGCATTTCATGGTCTGTATTGCCCCTTTCCAGATCTTTCAAAGGGCAAAATTTAGTGGGTGAGTTATAAACTTTAAAATGTAACTCTGACGAGTGAAATTAAGTCATTTTGAGGAAGAAAAAACCTTTCAGTGACAAGGTAGGATATGTAATCACTTTATGGCAAATGGAAAACTGCATTTCATGGGTTGTAAGGGACAAAGACTTTTGTTTGTTTGTTGTTTGTTTATGTGTCTACATCTAAAACACAACAACGACAACAATATATAGCCTACTGTAACAACTTACTTCACTGGCTAAAATACTAAAACACTTTGATTTCATCTGCGATGTTGTGTTTTGGTGTTTTGAAGTGAAAATGAACAATTTGCTTTTCTGTTAATTTATTATTTTAACTTATTCCATGTTTCATGCAAAGAGTGCTGTATCTTATTGAAATCTTCATTGAAGGTTAATGGAGACAAAAAACACTATTCAGTCTCAACCACAACCTAAAACCCAGTGCTCAGTGCAAAGTGCAGAGAACTGGGCCAAGGACACACACAGAGTTTTAAACACATGCAGAAATAGGTAGTCCAGCATTTTCCAGCCCAGATTCATAATTATTACACTGCACACCAATTGCTGTCTTTTGCAGTCATATTACTATGCAGTAAAAGTGCATTCATTGATTTCTTTGGGTGCAGTGGAAGAAGTAGTAAGCATCACACCAATATTCTGAACCCAATATTCACTGTTCTTGTTCTCCACCATCTCCTGAGAAATATACCAGGCTCTTTAGTTGCTAAATGCTCCACTTTGTTCACTTGCTAGCTGATAACTTTGTCTTCCTGCTGTTTGGAGCTGAGCTGGTAGCGTACAATGAGTTTGTTGGTACTTGCGTGACACATTTCTGTATTCTGTACCATTCTTCCTCTGAGATGTACAACATTGAGCTCCCTGTGCTCCCTGTTTCCCCAAATTTAGATCAGGGGTTCCCCACTTAGGGGTTGGGACCACAACTAGGGGGGTTGCGAGGCCTACTTGATTTTAAGGGGTGTAAGAAAACTTAAAAAGTATACACAGTATATTCTGTGAAGTAAATTGTATAACAGAACAGTGGCCAAGAGTCAGGGACAAGAACTGAATATGTCAAAAAAAGAAGCCTATTAAGTCTGTATGGTTGTTAAAAAGTATAAAGACAGACAAAGCATTGTATTTTTAAAAAATCCCTAAACAGGAAATAATATGCTAAAACGTCCAAATCCCTTATTGAGTTTGTTGTACAGTTTTGAATATAATATGAAATATCCATAATATATGTCACTTAGTCCTGGGTCGTCAGTTTACTCAATGATAGAAAAGGGCTGTGGTGCAGTGTTTTTATCACCCTGTCCCTGTTTTGTTCAGGTCAACAAGGCCAGAGGTCCTGACGACGTCAACCCGAGGGTGCGCAGAGCAACTGGCAGGAGTGTTCCAGCATCTGTTTGACCTCTCCCTGAGGTTGAAGAAGGTGCCGAAGATCTGGAAGACTTCCTGCTTAGTTCCTGTTCCCAAAAAAGGACATCCAAACGCTCTCAATGAATTCAGGCTTGTAGCTTTAACATCAAATATCATGAAGATCTTTAAGAGACTGGTTCTGCAGCAGCTCAGACCCCTGGTACGCGACTGCCTGGACCCGCTGCAGTTTGCGTACCAGGCTGACATCGGCGTGGATGATGCCATCATCTACCTGCTTCACAGAGCTTACACCCACCTGGAGAAGCCACAGCTCACAGACTACCTTACTTTTGTCTATTTCCTGTGTTCCGGGTTTACACTGCTTTTAAAGTTGAAGGAGCTGGTTTAACACTGCAGCTACCTGCTTCGGTTGCCATGTTGTTGTTGTTGAGTGCGGCCTCCATCTGTACAACGCAAATCACACAAAGGTGTTGCTCACCGCGCCCCCACTGGCCAGGGGCTTAAATCGATTCAGAGGATTTAATGAATCGATATTGAATTTGGAAATAATATATTGCAATGCATTGATGAATCGATATTTTTACCCACCCCTACAGAGCACCATTAGGATCATGTTCTTTGACTTCTCCAACTCCTTCGACACCATCCAGCCTCTCCGGCTGGAAAAGAAGCTCTCTGTGATGCAGGTGGATCAGGACCTTGTGGCCTGGATTACTGACTACCTCACCAACAGACCACAGTATGTCAGACTGCACAGCTGCTTGTCAGACATGGTGACGAGCAAGCACTGGCACACCCCAAGGAAGGAGGAAACCTCTGCATCGAAACAATCATCCATGCATGTCCATAAGGATAATGTGAGTAACTCATTTGTTAACTATGTTAATGTTTTGTGTGAGGATATAGTGGCATCTAGTGGTAAAGCTGCAGACTGCAACCAACTGAATAACATTATGCTTTCAACCATGTAGGAGAAACTATGGTGGTTGGTTTGTCCGTTCTGCTACTATAGAAACATGGTGATTCAAGAGGGCGTATTCATTGTAATGTAACGAAAACACAACAATTCTTATTTTCAGGTGATTATACATCAAAGAAAACATACCTATGAATATGATATTCAATTTCTGTCAGTGGATCCTTTAAGCTTGTTTTAACCAGGGGTGGATCTATAGAAGTATTCATTGGGTGGCAACAGGGTAGCATGGAAAATTTAAGGGGTAGCATAAATATATGCTGATTTAATCGCAGGCAACATTTGCTTGAAAAAGCCCCAGAATTAAGGTATTTGAAGTCAAAAACATTATTGTGGCACATTAGTAAAGCAATGAATAGAAATATCTGAGGGTGGCAGTTGTTAACAAATCTTTACATTTTTCCAAATACATGTCTTTCACTTCGCCTAAAATGTGGATTAAAATGAATCTAAATAAATGTGTTGATTTTGACAGCATTTGACACCAAACTGGGCTGGCAGCTGGTGTGGCTCGGCATTTTTTAGGGGTGGCAGCTGCCACCCCATTCTACCCCTCTAGATCTGCCAATGGTGTTAACCACAGACCTTATTTCAGACATCTAACAAAAAACCTATTTAAAAAAATCCCTCTGAGGCAAAGGAACAGCAAAAGAATTTGGGTTTTCTGCGGCATTCTATGTAAAGCACTACCTATTTTTATCCGAAAATTTAAGTTTGTCAGGTACTCACTCACCTTCTGTTACCAGGTGCAAGTTGACAGCAGTAGTTCCAGTTTGGAATCTGTGATGATTTTTTCCACCCTTAAAACAGAGAGAAGAGGGCACAAAGTTAGACAAATATTGATTAAATCTAACAATTTGGTCCATATGAATCCTCAGAGACCCCCACCAACAAATCAGAGCTTAACATTAAATTCTAAATGTAGCTAAAAACAGAGAGCTACAGTATAAAGAAAGAAAGACAAGAGGGAAGACCAAAATCATGTTCATCCCTCTCTCTAGTTGTCTTTTATCCAGTGATGCATAATAACAAGAAGGGGAAATATATTCACCTTGAAAGAGGCAAACACACACACACACACACACACACACACACACACACACACACACACACACACACACACACACACACACACACAAACCAGAGCACTAACTCACACAGCAAACACTCACACATGGAGTACAACTCAATTTGTCATGTTGACTGCTGTAACCCAGATTTCCACTGCATTAGGAAAGGTAAGATAGATAGTTGGCTTCTGAATCAAGAGTCTTCTCTGTGTTACAGAAATTAACAACTGATCATTTCTAGCTTATTTAAAGGCATATGCACTCTTTTGCCTTCAATACAATTCAATTCAATTCAGTTGTATTTGTATATCAACAAATCATAACAGAAGGTATCTCAGGACGCTTGCATATAGAGCAGGTCTAGGCCATACTTGTTTTATAATAAAATGATTTACAGAGACACGACAATTCCCAACATGAGCAAGCACTTGGTGACAGGAGCAAGGGAAAAAAATCATTTTTTGAGGCAAAAAAAGGTAAATATCCCAAAAATGATTGTAAAATGTTGTCCTGGAAAATCTTAAATTGTATTTTAGTCTCTTACTCAGATCGCCTATGTAAACTTGGGTGTATATTTTGTTTGAAACTCAACTGTTGGTAGGATAAGCTGCACAGTATGACCAAAGCGGACCAGAAAAACTTTCTGCTACCATGTCGGTCAAGAGCTGTTCACACCACTTTTAGTGTCAAGTCTATATTGGAAATGCTGTAGATGGTTATTAGTTTAATAAAATAAAATAATTTATATTCTGGGCTGTGGCCAAATTAATGTTATGGTTAGAGGAAAACTGTAGTCAAATCGCCAGAGACTGTGGTTCCGCTCCGCTGAGACCACAGCAGAAAAATCTGCTGCGGTGAGAGCAGTTAAGTGCTGACCATCATTTGTGTGCAAGAAAAACTCCTGGAAAAGTCCTGAACAATGATCTCTAAAAAAAGAGTGGGAAGCCTGTTATAGCTAGTTAGTTAAACCTTATTCATTCAGGAAATCTCACTGAGATTAAGACCTCTTTTACAAAGAACAAATTACATATAAACAAAACCACCATCATCACACACACACACACACACACACACAATTAAAATAATCACAAATTCTATTAAATATGTCAGCTCTCAGAGGAATGAGTGTCTCTAACTCCAACCTGTGATGCAAATAGTACTGGAAACCAGTCCAGAGAATATGAGAATACGACGGTATTCTGTTGTATCTGGCTGGTGAACCTGTGTTGAAACTGGTCCCAAGTGGGTTTATATCATCCTCTACGTGTATACTGCATGGATTATAACATTTTTAAGGGGAAGAAGACGCTTCGGGCTGCAGCTATGCACATAAAAGGCAATACAAGCTTTTATGCAGCCTGTGCAGACAGCTGCCGGTCCAGCATTTCATCCTCATCCATCAAAAACCAATGTATCCATTTCCTATAGCATTCATATACTGGCTTGATAAAAATGTAAACTTGGTAGAAAACAAAAACTTGTTTTTGAATTGTCCAGTAGGCTTGAGTCCATGATCCTGGTGTAGAGGGGCACAGGACTTGAGTGAGAGGAAGAGCTATTTGTTTGCTACAGGGAAGCTATGACTTAATTATATATCATCAGGAATCTGGTACAGAAAAGTGTTCTCTTCCAACACAGAACATTGGCTAGGATTATGAAACTCTGTGAGACCCAAGAGAGTATCCTCATTATTTCCATGTTTATAGAACGGAATTATATTTTCATTGCTAATGATTTTTCATGCCTTTTATAGGCTCTGAGAAAGGGATCTCTTGCCTCTGTTGCTAGTTAACAGCCATTAACATTATCCTGTTGAACATGTTCATGAGGTGTCCTGTTTTACCAATAAACCAAACCAATGGCGAAAGTGAAATAACCGCCCTAGGTGTCTCTGCTTTCCAAACATATCCTGTGCTTTTATGTAGAGACGGAGTGCTCTGCTGCTCCAAGTCATGCAAGTCTTATGAGATTGGAAAAGTTCACATTGGAGCTGCTATTTTTCAGATGTGACCTTTGGATGATGATCAAAAGAAAGTCTGCTGAGACGGGCAGCCAGAGCGAAGGTTTGTCTGCAGCCTAGCTGGCCTCATTTACACCAACAATTATAAACCCAATACCAACAATAGAAGGGCACTGAGATTAGACTACCGCCAAGGCCAATAGCCCACTCTTCTATGATATGCAAATCTTCAAGTGTAACCACTTCATATGTCTGCATTATAAAGGACTAACCTCACAGTGTTGATAAAAGTGAAAAATTATTTATGTATCTGCCCTGTTATTCAGAACCGCTCCAAACGTAATGGGATCCTCCTTGGCCCATACTACACCCTTCCACCAAGTTTAATAAAAACTGGGTCAGTAGTTTTTCCAAAACCCTGTTCACGGACAAAAAAAGCAAATAAACTGCCACAGAAAACATAACCTCCTCATCGGAGGTATAGTAGACACCTAGATTCAATTCAATTCAATTCAACAATTTTATTTGATAGCGCCAATCATAACAAATTATCTCAACACTTTCAAATAGACAGGTCTAACCGAACCTTTAACATTAATTACAGAACCCAACAGTACCACCTGAGCAAGCACTAAAAAGGAAAAGAAAAAACTCCCTGTAAAAAGAAAAACCTAGGACAGATAATCCGTCAGGTGTTCAGGTTTCGGGGGGGGGGGGAGAGAGAGAGAGAGAGAGAGAATGTCCAGGTTTCTGTAACAATGTAAATAGGCACACACTAGGGTTGGGTGATTGGACAAATAGAATATATCGGCGACTCCAATGCCAGTTGGAGTTTATTTGGTACGATTTTTGTCATTTTGTTTTGCTACACACACATATGGTGCAAATATTTCAGCAACTTTTTGGGGCTTTTATTGTCTTTATATGATAGTGACAGCTGAAGACAGACAGGAAAGGGAGGCAGAGAGAGGGCCACAGGTCGGATTCAAACCCTGAGCCACTCAGCCATTGGTACACAGGCCGCCAGCTCTACCAACTGAGCTAACCGGGCACCCACCTTTTCAGTCTTTACGTTTTTGTGCTTTGTGACATGTTGTAATAGTAAAAGCAAAACTTCCATACAGTTTTTCTAAGTAATGAGCCAAAGGGACTTAAGCCATGCCAAGCGGTGACAACGTTTCCACTATAGCCTCACAGCTCGGGTCCTGGTTGGTATTGGCACCAACCACAAACAACCCGTGATGGTCTGTTTCACATATCGGTCTCATTTTACTGTTTACTGACCAATTTCAGTTATATTGAAGTTTAGTTGCTGCTGATGCAAATCCAACGTTCCTGTTGCAGCCGCTTCACATTAAAAGCTTTCCACTGGCAAACCGACAGGATGCTTTTATTGTGAAAAGATATTATCACAGCTGCGCTTCATTGGTGGTGCTATTCTTCAATAAAAACAGGTCTAATCAACCAGATATGGACATTGTACTCTGTTTGGTCAGCAGATCAGTTTTGAATATCACAGGGAGGAATAGTAGAAACAGAAACAGAGTGAGCTGAAAGGGCTGCAGGCGTCAGGCTCTTACTGTGGTTTGTGACCAGCTTGCGTTCAACACCTCATCAAGGTAAACTACTTTACCTTGCTGGGCAGTGCAGTGGAAATCACTCCGTGCCTCTCCCCTCCCTCCCTCTCGCTCTCTGGACACAGGCGGCAGCAGAACTGCTGGTTGTCATGGAAACCGCTGGGTAATTGCTTTCTGTGGGAGGGCAGATGAGAAGGTGACCTCTCCAGGGGGCAGCAATGTCCTCCCACCTCCACCACCATGGCTGTCACTTCCTGCCCTTTACCAACCGCTATGAAGCTGCTGATGACCCCACGTTGTGTACCATTTCTGGCCAAATGCTCTCTTTTGAATGACTGGCTTTTGTTAATGTGAGGAAATGTTTCTTTTCAGTGGATAAGTGGTCTTTCTTTCTCTGCTAATATCATGAAATTAGCCTGCAAAGGAAAAGAACCACTTTTTTTAAATCAGTGAGGTTTAGACGTGTTGGTAGAAGGGCTGTGGTACTCCAACACACACACAACAAGAAATAAGTCATAAATTATTGCTCAGAAGTTTTTCTGTATTATGGGTCATCATTTTGGGCAATAGGGATGTGCTTCTCAATCACTGACACAGATGCAATACGCATCTCGATGCATTGCCAATGATCAAATACATTAAATATACACATGAAGCAACTACCAATGCCATACAATACGATTCACCACAGTCCGATTTGAAGTAGTTTCATTCAACACATTGTGATTCAATGGCTTACGATGCAAAAGAATATGATGCTATGCAGTTCAGTATGCTACTGAAATCTATATCTATAGTTAGCTATAGACTTTATTTATCTCGTTCTTCTAAGGCAGCTTGAGAAACAGTTTAGAGCAGTGGCTCTCAACTGGTCTCACCTTGTATTCTCATCGTTATCAAGTCGCAACCCACTTTTATAGAACTCAAACCAAGCAAATGTATTTTTCAAGAAGGTAGGGTGGCAAAAGTACACAGAGTCTTCACTCAAGTAAAAGATATGTGTATACAAATTAGAATACAAATAAATTAGAAGTACTGATTCAACTTCTTTACTCAAGTAAAAGAGACAAAGTAAAAGCTTGAAAATCCTCCCCAAATGTATTAGAACTAAAGTAACGAGCCTGTTTTGACAATGTAAGAAGAAGAAACGTACATATTAAAAATGAAGGGGGTAAAAGTAAAAAGTTATATAA